ATTCTTCTTTAATTGATGTATCAATTATTCAGTTTCCAATATATCAACAAGACTTATTACTTACCCATCGGTCCAGTGTCTCCTGGTTCACCATACCCATTTTCTCCTCTATCTCCTTTTGGACCTTTTTCTCCTGATTCTCCTGATGGCCCTTGGGGACCTCTTTCTCCTGTTTCTCCAGGTGGTCCGAGATCTCCTGGGACTCCTATGGAGACAAAAAGAAAATATAATCAACAATAAACTCCAATTCTTCTTTTATTGATATATCAATCATTCAGTTTCCAAAAATGTAATCTTAGATCATTAACAAGACTTATTACTTACCCATCGGTCCAGGGTCTCCTGGTTCACCATACCCAACTTCTCCTCTATCGCCTTTTGTACCTCGTTCTCCTGATTCTCCTGGTGGTCCTTGGGGTCCTCTTTCTCCTGCTTCTCCTGGTACTCCGGGATCTCCTTGGACTCCTATGGGAGTAGTTATAGTCTTTTCAGATTAAAGGCACATAGGCATAAAACGTTCCATTTCATTCCACGTATTTATGCCTATGTGCGTTCAATATATAAAGACCCATCCATTCCCATCATAATATACACACATATATACCTTATATTTCACCATACAAAGTCCCATCATAAAACACACCTATTATATCCCTTATATTTCACCATTACCTTCAAATTACATATCCCTCCTTTTTTTAAAATGATTTCTTTATATAAAAACCTTGTTTAAAAACAGGATGAGTTTAATTTTAAAACACGAACAACACAAATTCAAAGGAGACGGTTTCGTCTCAGCACTAACTTTCCTCATTCCCAAAGTAGCCAACTTTGTCTCAAACAACAAATCCCTCATTTCTTCAGAAGCGCAAGCTCTTGGATCTGTAGCAAAAGCAGGAGTAAATGTAAGCGAAACAGTGAAAAGATCTAACGAGTTGAAAGAATTACAAGAGAATTATAAGAGAAATGCGAAATAAAAGATTAGAAAACAAAAAAAGGCAATGGTTTTAAAATTATTGGATAAAATGTCAATGATAATTGCCCAAACTCCTAAAACTTATTTCGGTTCCGACATTCAAAAATCATTAGGTTCTCTTCCCGGGTTTCCATGGGCAAAATATCCCGGAGAAAAACATCTTCCCGGTCATAATTACACTGGTCCAGGTACAAGGTTAGATCTGCGATTAGACCAAAATGATAAACCAAAACCAGGTGAAGAACCAGGCAATAGAGTTGACGCTGCTGCACTTAAACACGATATACTATACAGAAATAAAGACATAACATCCAGACACGAAGCAGAAAAAACAAATGATAATCGAACTTGAAAATATTCCAAATCCAACTTTTAAAGAGAGAATTCAAATATATCTCCGTTTTATTATTGTATGAGAGATGAAATAAATAATCTCAAATATAAGAAAGGTAAATTTTATGCGATAACAAATATACATACTTCAGATCAAAAAGGAGTTCATCACTCTGCTTTATACAAAGACTCTTTAAATAACTTTTATTTCTTCTATTCTTTTGGATTAGAACCCACTGAAGAGATAGTGAAATTAACCAAAAAACCAATCAAATGTTCAACATTACAATTTCAATTACTGGGTCAAAAGTTTTGTGGGCAACTTTCGCTATGGGTTTTATATCAGTTGATTTTAGGAAAACAGTTTGAAAAAATTATAATAAATTTAACTTAATAAAAATGGCGAACAAGTTTGGATTAGGTTCTCTACCTTTAGATACTAAAAAACCTAACACTACAGCATGGATAAATAAAGCAAAACCTTACTATGTAGATCAAATTGGAGATTCCTTACAAGGTGATATTGATATGAATAATTTTTCCATAACTAATTCAAAGTTACCAGAAAATGACAATGATGCTGTTCACAAGAAATATTTAATGGAGCAATTAAATTTAATTGAAGTAGATAAAGACTATTTAAAAGAAAGGATAAATGATGTGAAAAGATTCTTCTAACGACAAATAAATAATAAAAAATTTATTGATGAAAGTAAACTGAAAGAATTAGATTATATTGATGATACTAAATTACAACAAGAAGTGACAAGTTTAAAAAATTTTATTCAACAACAATTAGTCAATGTAGTAGATAAAACTCAGTTACAAAATTTAAGTTCATTAATATCTAATTTAGATGATAAGATTAAAAAGCAAAAAAAAAGATCTTAAACAACTAATAGATAATATTAATCCAGGTTTAAATGAAGACAAATTGCAACGGGAATTAACTAAATTTAAAACTGAATTACAAAAAGAACTAACAAATATTAAACAATAAATACAAAACATTGATGATAGTGAAATTATAACTTATATTCAACAAAAAATACAAAATATTGATGATAGCGAAATCAAAACCTATATTCAACAACAAATACAAAATATTGATGATAGTGTTATTCAACAACAGATAACCACTATTAATAATAAAGTTTTAAAACAGGAAAAAAATATAGCCGCATTAGAAAAGAATCTCAAGGAAGAAAATAAATCATATTATTTCAATCTTTCATTTAGAAATTTGCGAGATGAGAATGCCTCTATTAGTTATAATATTGATAAATCAAGAGAGTCTGAATATGAAAAATATGGAATTACAGCAAATATAATAGAGTTTTTTAGGATACAAATTTCCATATCGAAACCCAAAGCTTATTTGATGGTGATCGTCTATCATATTTTTATTTCCTATACAGGTAAAAGTTGATTCAATATTCTTCAGACAGAACTCAATATCATCTAACCGTCAATTTAACGCTCGTAAAGTTAGAAATTAACGACGAAAACAACAAGGTTAATCACTTGTATGAAACATACTTATACATGTATGATAAAAATCAATATCAAAAAACTAAAATTTTCACCTCATCTGAATAAGATTAATGATTCGAAAGAAGAAACATCTATAGTAACTGTAGAAGTTACTATTCCTAAATCTATAGTAATTTATCCCGGCGAATTGTTTGAGATAGATTCTTTAGATAAAAATTGTCAATCTTTTGCTTTATCAGAAGTTCACTTGATTTAATTACCTTAAAATGGAACTCGAAATCAGGCAACAACATATGATAGAAAAACAAGAGGAGTTAAATGAAAAACTAAAACACTTCAACAAAGGCAGAAAAACATGGAGTAGAATTGATTCTGTTTTCAAAACACTGAGTGTAGTTCTAACAGTAGGAACAACAGTTGCAACGGCTGTAACTGGTGGATTAATGGTTCCAGTACTTATCCCAACTGTATTAGCCACAATTACTGCTATTCAAACTTCATCTTGTGGCTTGATTGCTATAGGTTACACATCAAAACAGAAATCTTATTATAAAAAGAAAACAGAAATTTTAAATACATATCTTAATAAATTATTTATATTTTTCGAAAGATCAAGAGAAGATAAGAACATAACCATTGAAGAATTAGAAGAATTCAATGAAATTTTAGATAAATTTGATAAGGAAATATCAGTAATGAAAGTTAAAAAAAATACTTAAAAAAATAAAAAATTAAAAAGTCATAGATAAAAAATATGAATAACATTGAAATTATAAACGATGAAATATTCATAGAAAACGTGCTATTTACCAATCTTGTCAGGGCTATTTCTGATACATTTTCAACATTTAATGGTCAAATTGAAATAGATGGAAAGATAATCGAGCATGGAAATCACAAACAAAATATGAGACTTCTTGATTTCAATGCCAAAACTTTTCAGAACATCTTTTCTAATATGGATTTAAAATCTGATGCTTTTGATTGGTATTTTATTGGAAAAATTATTTTACGTAAAGACAATTTTATCGAAATAAATAGATAGAGTTGGTAGAGGAACTGAACTACTTAAAAAGATAAATGAATATAAAGGTAGAAATTGTTATATACCAACAAATGGTAACTGTTTTATCAAATGTGTAAATCATGTTTTGAACAAAGATTTAACAAATGAATTTAAAAACTTCATTAATAATTTTCCAAAAGCGAATAGAAAAGGAGTAATGACAACTGCTAGAATTAATGAATTCAATAAGAAATGTGATACTTCATTTCAAATTTATACTCTCAAAAATAGAAATTTATGCCCCAGAGATGTAAACAATGAATTAGATTAGGTTTTATATTTACATAACTCACATTTCTGTCTCATAAGAAGAAATGGAAAAAGTTTAGGTATTAAAGAAATAGAAGATAATTATGAACAGGTATGGAAAACATGTAGAGATGGTAATGTCGTAACACAAGTATCACCTTTGAAACTAAACGTATTTTCAAATATGAGTGATGATACTTTATTCGCTTGGGATTGTGAAACATATTCAGAAAGTGAAACGCGTAAAGCAATTCCTTATTCCTGTACGTTAATTAATTTAGAAAAACTAAGAAAAAGTTAGAGATGATTAAAAGTATCTTTCCAAATCTAAATCCTACTGAAGAATTTTATTTTAGAATAATGAATATAGTAAAAGTATTTGTAGGTACAGATTGTATAGATCAAATGTTGAAATATTTAGGTCAATATGATAAAAAGAGATTAACATTGATTTCTCATAACGGTAGTGGCTTTGATAACTGGATCATAATCAAAAACGTAAAAAAACTAACACAATGCCCACTAATAAGACCTAGAGGCATTCTATCTTTACCTTTATCTAATCCATACACCGATGAATTTACAGAAAAAATGGAAAAGACAGAAAGAAATAACGGGTAACTCATGTTCCTATCAACACAAAACATCTAGTTTAGCGGCATGGGGAAATTCATCTAATCTACCAATGAATTTGAGAAAGATTGCCGACGTAGATATCCCTAAATACACGCAAGATAACTTGGAATCTTTAAGACATGAATGGGAACCTTACGCGAAACGAGATACCCTATGTCTCGGAGCATGCTTGATAAAATATAACATGAAAGACGTTGTATTCCAGAATGTTTCTAATAATCAAACGGCTCCATCTGTATCTTTAAAGGGTTGGTATTATTTGTATCATGACGATAAAGAAATGGTTGAAGAAGAATGGTATGAAACTACTAGAATGGTTCCGAAACATACAAAAAAACAAATGTAGAAAAAGGTTACTCGCACACTAACCCTTTTATAAGACATTTTATTAGACAATCTATTAAAGGAGGAAGGGTTTCGGCAAATCGAAAATCATTTGAAACGAACAAAATGGATGAAATTTGTAATGTATTAAAGGAATATACAGAACTTGAAAGTAATAACATAATTGATTTATTTAAAGAATACAGCGCAAACACTAAAGATAAAACAGAGGTTCACTCAAAACTTAAAAATATAAAATGTACTAAACTAATGCCATTTGATTCTAACGGTTTATACGCTTCAGCGATGTCGTATTTAGAGTGTGAATATCCTAAAGCGGAAAGTGGTAGACCATTTTTACCAGAAGAAGACTCTTGTAAGACTCTTCAATGAACAAAAATTTAGACCAAAACTGCTAGTTTAAAAGTCTGGTTTCTGAGTCTGAGTATCCCAAAAACATGTTCTTCCAACCGATACCAGCTAAAGATAAAATCAGAAAAAAAGGAAACTGGCACTAAAATCAGATTCAGAAATGGTTTCTGTTATGACGTTTTAACATCGGTTGATATTCAAGAAATAGTAAAAGCTGGCGAACGAATTATTAGATTATTAGATGGAATAGTATACGAAGAAAACTTTAGAACTCCTCCCTATAGAGAATACCTTTTAATTTTGAGAGATCTAAAAAATGAATATAAACGAGAAGGTAATAAATTGTATGAAATTATTAGGTAATTCCTTGTATGGTAAATCTATTCAGAAGGATATAACTACATCGAAACATCTATGGAGTGAAGCAACTTTAAAAGCCAAATTCGATTCACATGCCAAAAACTATGAAAAAATGAATGAGACTCAATACATCGTTGAGATAGAAGAAGAAGAAAAAGAAATATCTGAAACTAAATCTACTACACGACTAACCCCTAGTCATTTGGGATCATTCGTATTATCTCACAGTAAAAAAATAATGAATAATTTTATTCATGTAATAGATGGATTTTATAGACCGGAAATATACTATACCGATACTGATAGTTTATACATTTCATCTAGCAATTGGGAAAAATTAAATGAAGCTGGATTAGTTTCTGAAAATGAATATTGTAAAGGAAAGAATGATTACGGCGATGGTGGAATCATATTTGGTTTATATTTAGCACCAAAAGTTAAATACAATATTATTATAACTTCTGGTGGTGTTTTAAAAGAAAAGAAAACATTTAAAGGTTATTCTAATGATAAGATAACTGTAGACGATTACATTCGGTTGGCTAGTGGACATGATATATCAAATAAATTTAAGGAAAAATGGAAAAAAAGTTTCATAAATGGAGTAATTATTCCAAAGGATGATGATCAACAAAAAAAAGTTTTTAGAAGTTATTTGAATCTTGTAAAGAGAAAGCCACCAAATAGTGAAGGAATCATGTATCCTTATAGTAATAAAGATGAGTATAGTTTGGATGAAAACTATGAATTTGATGATTTTGATTACCTTACTATTCAAGAAGAGAATGAAGAGTGTTTAATTACTCAATAACTTTTGTTTGAAATGAAGTTGAATAACAATTTCTTCATTACCAAAATCAATTAACCTATTTTTACCATCTTTGATTTCCAGATTTATATCTTTAATCATCAACAAATTAAGTGGTAAATATGTTGTTTGAAATGGTTTCTCTATAATTCTATATCCAATCGGTACAGTGAATGTTGGAATACTGTAAATAATCTGACGTTTGTGTTTATTGAAAAATCCACCGTTTATCAAATTGCAATGTATATTTATCACATCAATATCATTCTCGATATTAGCTTGTGGTGCTAAAGTGGATTGCGTGTATATTTGCTTATCAAATCCTAATAAAGTATTCAATGAATTTTTTACGTTGAAATCAACTTGACAATTATTTCTTAATATCAATTTTTTTTTGCTCAGATTCAAATTACCTTCGAATTCAATATTGTTTTTACCATTTGCACTTCCCCCATATTCAGATAGATATTCGTTTATGGCTACGTATTCATAGCTTCCTGGTAGTAAACGTATGGTTTTGAATGTAGCTCCGTTATCTGTTGATATTTTCATTTGGTTATTATTTTCGTTGATATTTCTAATGGAATTGTAAACAGAGAAATATTTTAACCCCAATTCATATTCTTGATTGCGATCGAGTTCATACTCATAATCTAGAGACAATTTAATGTCTGATTTATTTGAGGTTATAACGAATAATTGTTCTTTATTTTGCATTTTTTATTACGTTTTTATAATCATTTTTATCTATGATACCTTTCTCTAGGAGTCTTTTTAATATACAATTAACTTAATTATATTGTCTGTCTGATCGATGGCCTTCTTTCATTGCCGCTAATATTATTTATTATATTATTATAGTATTCATCATCTTGATTAATAACTCTTATATTTGATCAACTTCTTTTAATCTTCTTGTTTCGGGTCCCGTCTTTCTTATCGTATGTAGAAATTCTGAGTATTCTACTAAATCCTTGTAATCGGTAATATCAACATCCCCACCATTCATTAAATCTATTAACCCTTCTGTTAATGTAAATATAAAGTCTCTTGTATCGATTTTGAATTGTGGTGAATTTCCACTAAATCTTATTCTAAATCCATTAAACAATAACCCTTCATTATTAACAATTGGTGTAATGCTCTTTGGTAAATCTGGGTTTGGATTTGAAAAATAACGTTTTATATCATTTAATGATTTATCTTTATGAGGTGAAGCTTCTATGGGAGGCGCAAATCTATTTTTAATATCTTCTTGACTTTTTAATATTGGTTGAAATAGAGTTTGTAGATTTTCTGTTAATCCAAGTTGTTGTAATCTGTAATTTTCAACTTGGGTCTTTATTTTATTCTTAGCTTTGATATATTGTCTGTTTCTTTTTATAATATTATTCCAATCACCCATTTTTAAAGAAATAAAATTAACATATATCTATCATAACTCTTTCACCCGCAGGTTTTCTAGTATTAACAAATACATATCCATGATCATCTGGGTTTTGCCATTGAGTTTTACAAACCTTTTTAAATGTATCCCTGTCCATTCCGTGATTTATCGACTGAATGATTTGAGATAAATCTTTGTCGTTTAATTCAAATAATAAAAAAACAATTTGCATTTTTTCTAATGAACATTGCATCCATTCCGTAGAAAGATTGGGATTGGTATATGCAGTGACAGTTGTGATGTCTTCCCTTCGTGAAGAATTCTTGTTGAACGGCTTGATTTCTTTGTGCTACACAGTCATCAAACACTATTAAGTTCTTTCGCTCACTATCAATTTTAGACAAATCTAAATCATTAACATTTTTCGTAAGAAAAACTTTTATATCCGTTGCATTGAAAGATTGATTCTTTTATTTTATATATATATCTAAGATTTCTTTTATTTCTATCTCATCGTTGTCTTCATAATATTTAAATATGTCCTGAACGTCTTTCTTTGGTATATATTCTAAAGCTTTTAGGAATTGATAATATGATTGCTCTGGTGTTGTTGTGTAGATATATAATGAATCGAAATCTAAAAGTTTTGGTGTTGTTAACATGTTAAAGGTCAAATAAGTTTTCCCAGAACCGGAACTACCGCATATACACATAAGCATTGGGTTACTAGGAAATATTTCTGAATGATTAAATTTCTTTCCCATGTTTTATTCTATATTTTTGTTCCAAAAATCACTCCTTCTCATTTATACTTTGAAAGAAAGATCCCCTCTCCAGAACGTTTGTTTTTAAAAACTATGGCATTACCCTTATGTTTGACTTTCATATCTCCTGTGTCGATTTTATCTTAGATTACTTATAGATTACTTAATTACCTCTTTAACAGTTTTCTTGGTTTCTTCACTAAATCGATTTCCAAATTATTTAACTGTCCCTAATATATCTGCTACTCCCGAACCTTGAGCTATTTTTTCCATTTCCATATTATGTCTACGTTTTTCACTTTTTTCAGCATCAGCTGCTTTCTTGGCGTTGATGGCTTGCGTTATCCCAGCCGCCCCACCGGCTGTCGCCCCTGCTGCGGCCAGGCCAGCAAATACCAAGATAGGAAAGGTAAAAATCCACCTTCTTTTACACTCTTGTCAATTCTTTCAAAATGTATATCATCTCTAACTTTACAATGTTTATATTTATCGATAATTTGTTTAGATATTTTAATCTTTTTATCATTGTAAGTTATTGTAGTTGGTGATTCCGTTTCGATAGCTTCTATTATTCTTTTTACTAAAGTTTTTGGTTTCATTTTTAAGAGGGTAATTTAAATGATTATTCTATACGAATCATCCGTCTGTCGGATATTTTAATTAAATGTTTTGCTTATTCCAATAATAAACAATAACCGGTTACATCTCCTTGTGTTTTTCAATATGAATATTTATATTCACCCCTGTTTTGAAAAAATCTTCTTGATGAGCTGATAGATCAAAACAGAAGATTGGATGATTAAGTGCAAAATCTACATATTCAAACTGAGGTGAATTTCCAAATAATTCACACATATTTTTATAGTTTCTATACAATTCATTATAATCCTTCGTGGATGGATTAATTGTTAAAGGTTGGTTAGTATAATTATCGTTGTTTAATCTTACTTGAACTTATTATAGGATTATAGGATCTTGAATTTGGTTCATTGCTACTCTAAAGATATAATTGTTATTCGTTTGAGAATCTGGTAAGTTCTTGAAACCAACCATTAAATATCTTGCTGGTTTAATAGTGTTAGTGATTAGCCATGTGGTGGATTCTCCAGTTAAAGTCATACTACCTACCTTATTACGACGAAGAAATGCTATTTCAATATCCTTAGTTAATGAGTAGAATATTCTCGTTTCTACTTCAATTGATGGTGTTATTACGGGTATGTAAAGTTGGAGATTCGATATTTCTAATTTTGCATTTGAAGCATTCTCTCCAAAGAATATCTTATCATCATTGATTTCTCTTCGTAGATGAATTTTATATGGTAACCCTATGGAAACTTTTCTGTGTTTCAACAGACCGAATAAAGGATATAATTTCCAATTTACGTAATTACCCCACCTATGATTCTCAACAACATTATTATACTGAAGTACTCGTTTTTCGAATCCATGATTAGTTGCTCGTGCTACTCTTTCTATTGTGTTTCGAGCAACAACTCTCACTCTAGCTAAATCGGCATCATTTGCAAGATTTCTTACCGGTTCTTTTAAAACATTTCCATTGCCAACATCGGGTATCCGGCCTGAGACTGAATCTAAGTCTTTAGGATATAAAACTGTTTTGAACATTGTATCAAATTCCCCAGGGTGTTTGATGGTTTCTATAGGATTTAAACAAGATTCCAAAACCATCTAGCTAAATAAAGATGGAAAGAAGTTGTTTTCTAACGTTGTATTAGTTTGTGGTACACGATTCTGATTGGGAGTTCCATCTTTTATTTTGAAATCGCATCTGAAATAAGCATCGGGAAGAAGCAGCCAATTTGACAGTGAATTAATCTCGAAAGTGACCCTACCCCCATCATTTAGTTGAGACCTAGAGCCAACGGTTGGTGGTATGATAATGTAATCCTCTTTTTTCTTATTAAACGAATAAAGAATTGGATCATATAATTGAAATATTGGATCTAGTTTTCTATATGCCATTTTTAGGTGGAAAATTTTAAACTTTTAACCCATCGCTTATTTAAAACTATAATTTAATATTTTAAGGTAATTCTTAATACAGCGGATGTTTATTAAAGACACTTTTTTGTAAATAAGTAATTTTTATTAAAACAAAATAACAATTAAAGGGAAATAATACATATGAAGTTCAACAATGTGTTAGATATTGTCCTGTATAATCTACAATAATTAAAGGGATGTAACAACTTTCATAATACTGTATCCCTCAAGTACATAGCGAGAATGTAACTAACAAACACATTGATTGTTAGTCAGCGATTTTATGAGATCATCCCTTAGCAACGAGTAGTGTAGGAGGAATAAACTCGATCCAGATAATCAACATGTTACATTCTATTAACAATTTAAACTAGAACTGTACTAATAACAGTACTGATGCAGGGCGTGTTACGACATTCGGGTACATACGAAGTTGGTCTATTGCAATTACATTGATGTAAATACTTTTCTGCATCTCTAAATGCAAATATCTAAAAGTAAGAATGGTATTTTAACGGACATGTCAAACTCAGGAATTTTATCTATACTGACATCTCATTAACCAACTTAAATTTGGTACCACAATGTTAAACGAATAGAATTTTACATAGACATGTTGTATATCACTGGAAAGCTCAGAATCTCTGCATTGTGAAGTCGAAAGAATTATTTCTATATCACTATTAGGCTACGAGATACAGCACTGCAAAGGTTCAAAATGGACCATTTTTAAACCCCTATAAAATCGAAAATAGTTGTCTGACCACAAAGGTCAAAAGGTCATCAGATAGACATGGTCACAAATTATCATCATAGTAAATATGAAGGTCACCAAAGGTCAAGGTCATGAGATATACGCCTTCAAACTTTGAAAAAAAAATATCCGGTCGTACAAAAAAGGCTAAACCGAAAATCAAAATTCTGTCCTCAACAAGTTTTAGATAAACGTTAATTCTATCATTTGACACCAAAATTGTTCAAATCGGATAATAAATAGCTCCAAAATAGCAAGTTTTGCATATTGAGTCAAACCAATATGGCGACCTATATGTTACTTCCGGTACGATTTTTTTTAGTTATAACACTTTGTATTAGTGACACTAAGCTTATGCATATGTCATTTCTGACATAACTCAATTTCACCGGAAGTGATGCCACCGGAAGTACTAATATCGAGACCGGAAGTGATGAACATTTTTTAACTATGCAGAATTATTTGCCCATACCGACGGTCTACGCCATAAAAATTTCAAATCGATCCGTCAAAAAGCAACCGAAATAGCATTTTTCGATTAATTTCGACAAAAAAAAAGTATCGAACGAATTTTGGAAAATCGAATATTTTCAACTGCTATCATATGTCCTTTGTACTAAGAATTATAATAAAGTAAACCCGAGCAAAATCGAACGATAAATATGCTCTCTACAGTCCATTTCCGTTTTTTTGCTATCTCACTTCCGGTTGCGCAGAACATTTTTGTTTTACATTTAATACGTTAATAGCCACGAGTTAGAAAACGTCATGAAGTCCGTTTTGTCGTACCTATTTCTGGTTCCGAGAAATAACCTCCCTAGCTGACGAAAAAAAAAATAATCGTTACGAAAACAAAGCAGGAAGAACGCCCTGCAAATAGAAATACACAAAAAGAGTTGGTATTCACTCAGGTTAAAATCAATAATCCATTGTATTGTCAGACATAGCGAGAATGTAACTAACATTGGTTGTTTGGCAGCGATTTTATAAGATCACCCCTTAGCAACGAGTAGTGAAGGAAGAATAAACATTGATTCAATAACCATAATGTTCTGTATAAGAAACTCTATGCTGTTGAAACAACAATCGATAATTACACGTTGTATGTGAATAAAATATTGGACTACTTTCTTAAAATTCAATTTATAAGAATGCCATTATAATTTGAATTACATTATTTTCAAAAAGCGTTGTTGCTCAGGATTAATTTTTAATTCCCGTTCAATTTTTTGGCATCCATCCAAGTAATCTCGAAATTGGAATTGATATATTTTGAAATTTTTTGGTATCTATTGCAGAGTTTTGCAAGTTGTCGCAATTTCTTACTCCAACTTAGTGAAATTGATAAGTTTGTTTTAACGAAATAACTAAAAACTCCAAAATTTAGTATGTATAGTTTCTGAAGCCAATGTCCAAAAGCTGCATATGCTTTAATTGACCGTACAGAGTCCTGTTTCAAAAAATTGCCACAGTTGATTACTATTTTCTTCACACTTTCATGCTCATTAATATTTTTGTCATATGGTTTGGTTGAAATTGAGAATTTTTGGTTTCTTACACAATGTTTCTATTTCTTCTAGATGGTAATACTCCACCGTTTTCAAATCCTCAAGCATCAATTTTTCCTTTAGTTCCAGATAATGTTCCTGGTGATAGTTAATATGTGCTTCTATTGCACTTAAATAAATCAGATTGACATCATTTTGAACTGAAAATAAAAAAACAAATTGTTTTAACAAGGAAAGCTATTCAGCACCCGTTTGTACGCCACCCAGCTATAAAAGACAGATAATTACATATTAAAAAGACTGTACATACCTGTGTCTGAAGTTTGAGAGCCCACTGACATGCTTTCCTCTGACATATTTCACCTGTAATTTTGTTAGACTACTGTCTCAAAAAAGCTTCAAACTCAATGTTATGACGTTATATATTTAATTAGATTCCTAGAAATGTCTTAACTAAACTATAGTGTGTATTGTTCATAATATATTGATCTGTAATGAAATATTTAGAATATGCGTTTATTGATTTTGACTTATACAAAATTGACTAATGCATTTCAGAAGCTATTATGAATTTTTAATAACGTAATTATACAACACGGTTAAAGGGAAACTAAGTCTGCCAAGCTTGATAAAACCAGACCACAACGGTTTTCTAAGATAAATAAATCATTTTAAAAAAAGGAGGGGATATGTAATTTGAAGGTAATGGTGAAATATAAGGGATATAATAGGTGTGTTTTATGATGGGACTTTGTATGGTGAAATATAAGGTATATATGTGTGTATATTGTGATGGGAATAGATGGTTCTTTATATATTGAACGCACATAGGCATAAATACGTGGAATGAAATGGAACGTTTTATGCCTATGTGCGTTCAATCTGAAAAGGCTATAACTACTTTTGGGTCCCGAAATACAATATAATCAACGAAAAAATTCCAATCGGTCTTCATTTTTGTTTATTAAATTTCCATTACATTGTAATCTTGTGGTCATCAACAAAACTTATTACTTACCCACTGGTCCAGGACCTCCTGGTTTACCATACCCAACTTGTCCCCTATCACCTTTTGGACCAGTTATACCTGGCTCTCCAGGTGGGCCTATCTCTCCATAACCTCGTGGTCCTTGGGGTCCAATTTCCCCCGATTCACCTGGTGGCCCGGGATATCCTTTAGGACCGGGAAGTCCCTTACCTGGAATACCTCTTTTACCTGTAATATAAAGTTAAACAGGGTCTGAAATGTTGGAAAACAAAATTCACGTTTATGAATTATAAACAGTTATAATTGAAAGAATCTGAAATATATCTATCAAATAAATTGAACATTTCTAAAAATGAAAACGCTGGAGCCTCTCCTATTAAGACATCTAAGCCTGGTTCGCCAAAGCAACAAAAATTGAATTAGTTGAATCGAGTTACTTATTTATATATGTTTATTTCAATATTTATTGAACAACTAAAATCTCTGACCAACATTTACATACGGTCCAAGGTTACTCGTTACATTCATATAGGGTATTAAGTCGAATAGTCTCTTGAGAATATGTAAAACAGAGAGCCTATTGTTTTTACAGAAATCACTCTATGTATACTAATCCGTCGCATCTAAAATGCAAAATCTAATGGAAAGATATTAATTTTATGATAAAGTAAAAGCCGTCTAAACATTTGTATATATCGGCTTATTAATACGGCATGAATAACTTAGTGTTTTACGGTTTTTTCTTATAGGCCTGTTGAAAACGGGAAACCGCATAATTTGTGCCATGAGGAAAACTGTGCCCGGACAACGATGTTAGCATTGTTCTGAGATCTTTTACGTGTACACGGAGCCTCGATTCATTGTCTTTTCGAAGGACATGAATCTACTCAAAGTCAGACACAACGTATGCAGAATTGATATCGCGTCATCTTTTTAAATTTCCAATAACGAGCCAGTTTGGTTCTCTTTCAACACCGAAAATAAGATGATGAGAAATTGAGAAAACGTACGCACTATAGTGTAATTATAATGTTGTTCAAAATAAAATTGCTTACCTCTAGCCCCTTTCGAACCCTATAGAAAGACATATAAAAATAGTAATAATGACTAAACTGATCAACAAAAAATCAAATCACATTTTATAACTTTGTGGCATTTGATATTTTACTCTTTTTGCAGTGATAAGGTTTTATAATAGTCTATCAACGCCGTATGTCTTTTTAATTTTTACGAATGTACATTTACTTTTCCAGCCAATTGGATAAGAAAACCATATTTACATTTTTAAGACCAATTGCATGTACCCATTCCCGAATATGAGCTGATTCATGAGGTAACTCTCCCGGCGGTCCCGGTGGCCCTTTAGTACCTTTTTCAGAAATTCCACGTGGGCCTCTTGGTCCCTGAAAAAAAAAGACGATCTGGGTAACAGTTTTATTACATGATTCCACTTGATATAATTATATAAATATGGAATCTAGATTCAACTGTAAACTCAGAATTATCAGTTTGATAATAAAAGTTGCATTCTGTTCATGATAGTCGCTGATTGACACGCAAACTAAAGCTACTTATTTCCTGTTATATTTACCGGTTGACCTGGTTTTCCTTGAATACCATCTGCACCACGACTTCCCTATAACACAAAACAAGATTATGTGCAAATACCACACACGTTAGTGTTATAATTTTTAAGGTTGATATTCTGAGAGCATTGTCCCTAGAATCGGGTAATGCTGATTGTCTTTTTGTAGAATTCTGCTCCTATATTAGTAAACCGGTCTTCATTTTCACAGTTTAATGATGATTTATCGACAGAGGTTCTTGACATATTACAGAATAAAACATAGACATATTTGTACCTGATGCTATTGAGAGCAGTACTAAATTTGAGATTTCGACTTACGTTTAGACCATCACATCCATGAACACCCCTGAGACCTGGTAGACCCTGGTCACCCTGAAACAAATATCAGTAAATAAATCAATAGACTACTGTTCATCTGCTAAGGTTCCAACATCGTGTCCGAACCACACACCCATTCGTCATACTTCCTCGGGGTAATAAGACCATGTCAAAACCCGTATTCATGATACGATGAGGTACCAACAGCGTTACAGTATTAATTAGTATTACCAAATATTATATGATAATTTAGAGTACAATTTACGATAGCATCGACAACGCTATACATCCTGTTCTACATCAGAACAGATGAGTTCAATAAATTAATTCAAATTATTGTTCAAATGAAATCCTTATCAAACAATTCACACAAAAGCTTGATTCGTTACATCAGGTTTTATCATGCTTTTCTAAAAATAGATATCGCCCAAAGATTGCATAATTAACTATTAGAGTGACAATTCTTTACATATTTGTAAAGAAAATATAAAGCGATTTTTCAGCTTTTAAGCTTTTGTTCGGAGCATAGGTTGTAGCCTACTAACATCTCTCCCATTCTTTCCTGGCATGCCTGGTAAACCAAATGGACCCTGAAATATAAGCCATTCCTATATTAGTATACGTATCTTTTTATTTGAAAAATGAGGAGGTTATGCATTTGCAAAATTTCTTCACACGACAAACCAAATCAAATCGCGTTTTCTACTTTCCATACATAATTTCAATTATGAGTGAAACTCTGTGATATCGAGGGAGCTGAGAGGATGGTCGTGTCTTGCCTCTTCTGTACCCGATGTCGTGATTTCAAGTCAGTTACCTCAAATTGCATACTAGTACTTACTCTAAAACCACGAGGACCAATAGGACCATAAAACCCCGGAGCACCCTTCTCACCCCTAGGACCAACAATACCTGGTTCACCATGGGGTCCTGGTACACCTTGTGCTCCTCCCGGACCTATTGAACCCTGAAAATAACAAAGATTGATGTATTTTTGTGTCCTGCATAATAACGACAATACTGCGGACGATGTAGTAATTGAGTAGGATTCTTTGTCTACCAATGTGGAATGACATTTTACTTGCCTTAGTTTGGTCAACTTCTGTGATTATGGCATCCTACTGATTTCGAAATTATATTTCCATAGGCATTATATTATAATAATAATAATCAAAATCATAGTTATAATTACTTTATTAGAGTAAGAAATGAGGCCAAAAGCCTTTCTCGCCCAACTTATGTACATACATACAAAATTACTCAACAACAGACAAGGAATAATAATGACATACATAACATTATAATATAACTGATACATTTGTAAACAAATTTGACCAAACACTGTAGCTTTTTGTTTTAGAGAAATATGTTTGTGGATGATTTGAGATTGGTTAATACTTTTAGATTCGAAGGCATGCTTTTGCAAAGGCTAGGTCCTTTGAAAGCTTAACTGTATTTGGCTAGGGATAGTCGTGGTTTTGAAAATACATGTATTATGTCTTTTACTGATATTATCTTTAGAAGTAATATGAAATTGAAATATGTTACATAGATATGTGGGCACTGTTTATTTACTATCTTAGAAATATGTTTTAAGTTATGTAGTTTGTGTCATGAGAATATATATATCTATAATATGTTAAGTTTTTCAAGCATTTTAACATGATACTTTCATTAGTGCAGGACCTAAGGTCGTGGTATGCCAAGATCAAAGGGTGACTCACATCTGTGTTTTACAACCCCCAAAAGTTTAAATTTGAGATTGTGGAATTATTAATAGAAATATTTAGCTCATCGATTTTCATACGAGTTCTTCGTTACTTATTTGTTATTACCATACATTATGAATTTTTTCGTTGATTATCATTGAATTATTCGGAGACCATTTGACTTTTTCGTAAGTATTATGTTGAAGATTTGTTTGAAGTTGAATAAAAGATAAACTACTGGAATACACAGTCGTGCTATCAGCGAATCAGTCACAATGACATTTCAAATGAAGTAGGAGAACATTAATGAAAATGTTAACAAGAATAGGTCCTAAAATGGATCCCTGGGGAATTTAATCTGATAATCACACTGTTAAATAGGTATGATCAAAAAAGTTTTATAACATCAGTTTATTTACTCTTTAAGTTTGGTTTTGTATTTTAATTCATTTATAAAAATATGTAAATATATCTATCGAAAGCAGGGGTGTTCTAATGTTCAAGAAAAATCTTAGGAATCCCTTATAAACTCGCAAAAAGGTAATTACTAAAGGAATGCAGACGAATTTCTGACTAATGACCGCGATAGAACGATCAAAATAGTTTGCTTGTTTTTACACTTAATAATGGGAAAAGTCATCATTCAGTCGGTCTAAAAATATAACACGGTTCACTAAATCAAAAGCTAATTTAAAGTCAATAAAATATCAAATAACGTTGTTCATTATTCATCTATAAGGATTTTCAGATGTTTTCAGATGTATATGTCAGGACTATTCAACATGAATATTCCTACCTAAAACCAGACTGATGAGCGTAAAGTAAATCATAATCGGTTAAATATAAATTAAGATGATGGGGCATTTGTTTTTCTACGGGTATAGTTTAAAGAGATATCTTTAGTTCCATTTTTATGCCAAAGGGGATGATACTATTTAGCCCTCTAAAATATTTATTATATTATCGACAACAAGTAAATGATAGTAGATTACCGGCAAGCCTGAAGGACCTGGTACCCCTTGACTTCCTGGTAGACCCTGTAATAAAATGTTTTATCATTTCAATCTGAGATATTTTTCTTTTATAAAAGTGAGCTACTACGGCCTTACAGAAAATAACATATATTAATGAACTAAAAGCTATTTAAATTTGAAATTCGCTTTTGGTTAACTGGCTCCGTTGCAGTTAAATAATATAATTAACAATTTAATGTCTACACAGCATGTTAACAAATACCATTTATAGATAGCAAAAGAGATTACCATGTAATGAGCAACATTCGTCATTATAATTTATGAAACCATCTTACCATATCACCCTTTTCTCCTTCAGCTCCACTAAACCCAGTTTCACCTTTCTTGCCTTTAGACCCATGAACACCTTCTCGACCTTGAGGACCACGAGCACCATCACGACCAGCATCTCCCTTCTTTCCCATCAATCCAGGGACCAGAACCTGAACAAAAAATACCTTTGTTTTAAAGTAATGACGGGGATACAATAATCTAATAAATCACAGTCCATTCAATACAAATACTCCCGAGGTTTGTGTTTTTAAATTGCGAATGATTTAGCTTTGTTATTTCTACCACTATTCCAATGCATTTCAATATGGCATAAGTCATTTCCCTTATCGACCCAATCAACAGCAATATTTAAGGAATATTGCCATATTGTAATAAGTTACCAAAACAATATATTAGAAGTTCTAAGATGTAGTAATGCATTATTTTCATATGTCGATGAAAACGGAATTTTAAAGGATGACTTATTTATACTTTGAAAAAATCAAACCCCTATGTTTATAAGAGTTGTTTAAATGTCAATTTTCAGATGGCTTATAAAATGGAAGTTGAATGTTTTTATCATATAGTAGCATATCTATAGATAGCCGAGATCCAGGACATTGGGCATTGCTATATAAAAAGAAAAGTTTCAAAATTCACTGTTTTATTATTTTGATAGCAAGAACTAATATTCAACACTACACTATAACCCATGCGCTAGCTGTTGGTGGGTTGAAATACCATTTAATATTCTTTAACAAACAAAAGTTATTCAACTGCGATTCATTAAAATTCAGCTGTCTTCAGATCTGTCTTGGCTTTCACAAAATTGGACCCATTATCACTTCTGATTTCTTCTGGATAACCACAAAGAATGAAACGTCTTAAGGCATCAGTATCTTAAGAGTGAGCTTTTTCAACATGAACAGCACGAGTGGTAAAAGAGGTGAAAAGACTGCCAACTGTGCTTCTACCTTGTTTAACAAGTAGTGGCCCGAAATAATCAATGAATCAAAATTAAAAGGAGGCTTGTCTGGAGTAAGGCGCTGCTCTGGAAGATTTGCCATAAACTGTTCCTCTGTACACCTCTTACGTTCTTACGACAACTTTACAACGGCTAACGACCTTCCGTACTGCTGAACGGCCTTTCAAAACCCAAAATCCATTCCGTAAGGCAGGCAAAACCGATTCCTGTCCAAGGTGACCAACATTAAAATGACAATTTCTTAAATTCAATTCTTTTTCACTCAAATATTTCTTGAATTTCAACAACAAGGCAAAGGCTCTTTTAAGTTTCACCTATGATGAATATCTACAGAACAATTTATCAAAAATATCGTCTTTAGGCTCTGAGGTAGTTGCATAAATCTGAACTTCTTTTCTGACCTCAGGATCACCAAGTTCAAGCTCAGGAATTTCAATTCTGTCTGGCCACGATTCTTCCTTTTGATATAGAAAATCAGGACTTCTGATCCATTTTAGTTTCTTCGTCAAAACTTTCAATTTAAGACTCTTTGATCCATCATCTGCTAGATTGTGGTTACGATCAATATATCGCCATTCATGAGCAGCTGATCCAGCATGTATTATGGTTAACCGTTTGGATTCGGTATTAAATCTTCTAGACTCATTGTTGATGCACTTTAAAACCGACATAGAATCTGCCCAGAAGGTAGTTTTATATATCTGAATATATCCAGCTCTTCTTCAACCATTTTTCTCATTTCTACTGACACCACTCCAGCTGATATTTCGAGTCTTGGAATGGAGATTCCTTAATAGGACCTAGTCTGTATTACTGAAAAGAAATGGACTGGATCACCACCAAATCTTATATAACAAACAGCTGAATATCCTACCCTGGAAAATCCGAAAATATATGTAACTGCACATCATCTCCAATTTAAACACCTATCAACTTTAACTTCTGGCAAATGAAACAAGTCCTCTATTGCAATGCAACTTGAATTCATCACCAATATATTCATCCCAGCCTAATTTCAACCAACTCATTTATGAAAATATCAATGCTAATACTTATATGAATAGATAGTAGGGGTGTTCTTATGACTTGGAAAAATACCAGTTTGTCTCACATGTCCATAATTAATTCATAATTAGCTAAATTAGAAGAGAATTACCAGCAGAATTCCAATGAGTGACCGATCAAGAAAGGTCAAAAAGACCATACATAGACATTTATGATTGGTTAAAACTCTTAATTATATGCAACAAGAACATAATGATATGATTAGGAATACATGATAATTTCATATGAAACACCAATTAATCAAATAGTTTGCTTAATTTTACACTTAAAAAATAAGGAAACCCATCTTTAAAGTTTGCAAACCAACTTGGCCGTCATCACATATTGAGCGATAAACCCTACAGGATCGAACAATGTATATACAACAGACAAAATACCACGTCTTGTTGCTGGTTTATTAGAAAACAATAATTTCTCTTGCAACTCCCAAGAAAATACATCAAGTTCTGTATTCCATTTTAAGCCTAAAGCACTCTGAATTGGCAATTCATCTACATTTAAGTTCACGATAGATTTCACTCTATCACTATCAGAAATCTGCTGATGAAACTCTCTGCTATAACTACACCATTTCGTCAACTTGAAGCCACAATTACTTTATAATCCAGAAACTTCACCATCTAATGTCAAGGCTAAGTCTAAATTTTAACACAATAATTAGCAATTGCTGGAGGGGATGTTGCTCCAAATATGTGCTTCCCCGGTATTCTTGAACTTCACCATTTGTGACATTGTTCTTCCACCAAAGAAGCCTTAAAACATCACAATCAACCAATACTTGGTGGAAATGAGTCTCAATGTCAGCTACAAATCCAATATCACCTTGCCTAAACTTGAATAAAACTGCCAACAATTCATTCGCAAACTGTGGACCTTGCAATAATTCATTATTCAAACTTTTCCCGCAATATCTCTGCATGTCCTTTCAAAATATAATCTGTGGTCTGGTACTTCATAAAAAGATCAGGATCCCTTCTAAATCTTTTAGACAAACCAACTAATCTTTTAACAGATAATTCTCTTTTAATTGGCAAGTCTGGCAACTTTTATCAATTAAACTTAAGGCTTTACGATCTTCTACTAAAAACTGTCTTTGTTTTAACCTGTAAATCACCAAAGTCAGTATTCCAAAATTTATTCAACTGAACTTTAAAAATGTTATCGGAATCTTCTGTTTTTACAAAATTGACCGAAAAATCATCACTAACTATTGACCTTAACTACCTAAAACCATTCAGCCTAACCTATATCTAACACCCGCAGGGTAAACTTGGGTTCCTCCTTTACACCAATAATAATAGTCACCTTCGTTATCTCAAAAATTGGATACGCGATACCTCGCAAATGAGACAATTTCTGGAGATCTTTTACCTCTGGAATGGAGGTAGCTGAAACAGGTAATGTTGGAACAGTTACATCATTGAATTCTACGGTGGTATTTTCCCGATATGTGAGGAACATTTCTTTGACGCGTTTTCATATCTCTGGCATGCTTACACTTTCTGGAACACCTTATCCCAGTTTGCGATTGAGTCTGTCAACCAGGCGGTTGTTTTAAACCCAACTATAAATCATTGAGAAAATATTATTTTATTAGTAATAATTCTTAAATTTGTACGTGGCACTAATTGAATTTAAATGACTGTAAAGAATGGCGATTTGTTTAGCAAATTTCTTGAATTTCGTTTTTTGATGTAGTAGTTTTTATAAACATAAGTTATAAGTTTGTAAGGTAGCATCGACCTATTGACGTGTCTGGCGTGTTTACTGACGTGTTTGACGTATATATTGACGGGTCTGGCGTGTTTACTGACGTGTGACGGAGACCTTACTGTATTTTCCCGTTATACCAGTAATCGCAAAATGACCTTTTCTACCAGAAATATTCAATTCATCAATCAGTTCCTCTGAGACCAATGTTGATTCTGAAACAGTACCCTGTAATGCATGAGTAAATTTATCACTGCCAAACTTCCCAGTTTTCTGCAGTAACAGTGGAAACTGGTTAATGTCATTTCGTGCACCATGGAGCAGAGTGTTGTGCTCCTTTTCACATGTCTTACACATAAATTGTTTTCTGTCACATGGTTTTCCTTTATGGTTGTTCAAGGAAATAATAGATAGTTTTTTCTGTTGAGCAAATTTTAAACGTACATCACAGTTTTGAGCAAAGAATTTCGAACATCTCCATATTGGATGATATAAAGTACACAAAACACATTTAGAATTCTTATCAGAGAGTAGTGTATGAGCTTATAGATTGGTCGTATGGGAATTCCCCATTCCATTTCATTTCATGGGGAAAATGCGACCAATCTATAAGCTCCCAAAAAGACCTAAATTCCCTACATTTCATAAATTCTTACAGCAAAACATCCTACATTTCATAAAATTCTTACATCCTACATTTCATAAATTCTTACACTTAAAAAAAGACCTAAACTCCCATACACCAAAAAAACATCTTCAATCAATTTCCTACATTCCATCAAAAAAGCATATTAAAAATACCCTTATATAAAATAACATCCTTGTTTCTCTTAACATCCGGTTTTTAATAGCCTCGTTTTAAATAATGTTATTTTTAGTCTAGAAGTGGGGGATAACTTTTTTTTTGGATAAAAAAAAAACAGACCACAATTTCGTCGTTAAATTAACTCATTTAAAAATAGGATGAGTTTAATTCTAAAACACGAACAACACAGATTCGAAGATTATTCGGGCGACGGTATCTTTTCTTCATTATTTTCTCTAAGTAAAACAATAATTCCAAAAGTAGCTAGCTTTGTTTCAAATAACAAATCACTTCTTTCAACCGGAGCTAAAGCCGTCGGCTCAATCGCGCAAGCGGGAAAGAGTATAGGCGACGCAGTGAAACAATCTGACGAATTGAAAGAATTACAACTAATAAGAGATCTGCGAAACATTATAGTCGCTCACGCTCCAAAAACTTATTTCGGTTCAGGAGATATACAAAAATCATTGGGTTCTCTTCCTGGATTTCCAAGGGCGAAATATCCGGGATATAAACATCTTCCGGGTCATAATTACACCAGTCCAGGCACTAGGTTAGATCTGCGATTAGACGAAAACGATAAACCCAAACCAGGGGAAGAACCAGTCAATAGAGTTGACGCCGCTGCGCTTAAACATGATATTTTATACAGAAATAAAGACATAAACTTCAGACACGAAGCAGACAGACAAATGATAATCGAACTTGAAACTATTCCAAATCCTGCTTTCAAAGAGAGAATGCAAAGAGCATTCATCATTAAACTGTTAAAAGCAAAGATGAAATTAGGCATGGGATTAGCGGATGAAATTCACAAAGAAAAACTAAAAACTTTTTAAAAGTTAAAGTGTTTGAAAAGGATGAAATATGGTCAGCCGATTTAATTAATATGCCAGTCGCAAGAGGATTCAAATATTGCTTAACAGTTATAGATTTGTATACGAAATATGCTTGGGTTATTGAAAAACAAAACGGGATTATCAGTCAAACACGCATTTGAAACGATTATGAAACAATCTAACCGACATCCAAAAAACTGTGGGTAGATAAAGGAAGTGAATTTTATAACAAAAATATGAAATCTCTGGGATTTGAAATTTACAGTACGCATAACGAAGGTAAAGCTAATGTAATAGAAAGATTTAACAGGACTCTAAAAAATAAATTATTTAAAAAGTTCACGGAATTAAAATCTCAAAAATGGCTTAAAATATTACCAGATGTTGTAGATCTGAAATATAAGAAAGAGAAAAGTAAATTTTAGGCGATAACAAATATACATACTTCCGATCAAAAAGGAGTTCATCATTCTGCTTTGTACAAAGACTCTTTAAATGACTTATATTTCTTCGATTCTTATGGATTAGAACCCACTGAAGAGATAATGCAATTGACTAATAATCCAATCAAATGTTCTTCCTTTCAAATTCAATTACCAGGACAAAAGTTTTGTGGTCAGCTTTCACTTTGGGTTTTATATCAGTTGAGTTTAGGAAAACAATTCGAAGAAATTGTAAAAAATTTAACTCAATAAAAATGGCGAACAAGTTTGGATTAGGTTCTTTATCTTTAGAAACTAAAAAACCTAACACTAAAGCGTGGATAAATAAAGCGAAACCTTACTTTGTGGATCAAATCGGTGACACTCTTCAAGGTGATTTAGATATGAACAATTTCAAAGTAACTAATTTAAAGTCTCCGGAAAACGATAATGACGCTGTTCAGAAGAAATAATTACGGGAAGAAATAAATTCAATTGAAATAAATAAAAACCATTTAGAAGATAAAATAAGTAATGTGAAAAGATTCTTGAAACGTCAATTAAATAATAAAAATTTTTTTAATGATACTAAACTACAACAAGAGGTACAAAGATTAATAAGTTTTATTCAAAAAGAATTGGTCAACGTAGCGAATAAAACTGAGATACAAAATTTAATTTCATTAATATCTAAATTAGAGGATAAGATTGCAAAACAAAAATTAGACATTCAACAATTGATAGATAACATTCCAGATGAAAATGAAGATACGTTTCAACAGGAATTAAATGTTCTGGAAACTAAACTTAACAGTGAATTACAAAAAGAACTAACAAATATTAAAAAACAAATACAAAACATAGATGATAGCGAAATCAAAACCTATATTCAACAACAAATACAAAACATAGATGACAGCGATATCAAAACCTATATTCATCAACAAATACAGAACATTGATGATAGTGTTATTCAACAACAGATAACCACTATTAATAACCTAGTTTTGAAACAGGGTAAAAATATAGTCGCATTAGAAAAAAAGTTTCTCAAGAAAGAATCATATTATTTCAATCTTCCATTTGGAGGTTTTGATGATCATTCTATTACTGATAATATTGATAAATCAAAAGACTATGAATATAAAAAAATATGGATTAACAGCAAATATAAGAGTATATTCTGTTCCAAATGATATTATTTACCCCAATAATATTTTTGATTCAGATGATGATAACCAGTATTTTTTAATTTCCGAGGAAAACTTATAATTGAAATTAATTTTCCTTTTCAGATAAAAGTTGATTCAATATTCTTCAGACAAAACCCTCCTTATTCTAATATATCTAACGCTAAAAAAGGGTACAGAAAATGTAGAAACTAAAGAATTAGAAATTAACGACGAAAACAACAAGCTTATTCACTTAAATGAAATTAAAACGAGTGGAAAATATATAGATAGGTTTAGAATGTTAATCATACCAGATAATGAAGAAGATAATCTTTCATTGAGTAATTTTGATATGATATTGGAGACGGAAAGTCCACCATCAGCAAGTATTATTAGAAATCCAAAACCACAAAATATAGGGGAAATAAGGAATTTCGCGTTTTTACGAGCAACAGACTTTGAATACGTAAAACTATATTTTGTTGATATTGATATATTTACCTCAATCGATATTCATAAAAGTCAACAACAACAAAATTTTTTGATAGCAGCAAAAAGAGATGATGATTTGTTACTATGTTTTTCACTATTACTAAACCAAAATTTTCAGTTCATCTGAATAAGATTAATGATTTGAAAGAACAAATATCCTTAGTAAATATGCAATTTTTAATTAGTAAAGGGGAAGTAGCTTTATCAGAAGTTCACTTAATTTCATTACCTAAAAAATGGAACTCGAAAGTAGACAACAATATATGATAGAAAAACAAAACGAACTAAAAGAAAAACTAAAACAATTCAACAAATGTAGAAAAACATGGAGTAGAATCGATTCTGTTTTCAAAACATTAAGCACAGATCTAACAGTAGGGATAACGGTGGCAACAGCCGTAATCGGTGGATTAATGCTTCCAATAATTGTCCCAACTGTATTAGCCGCGTTCACTGCCGTTCAAACTTCATCTTGTGGATTTATTACTTTAAGTTTTACATCAAAAAAGAAAGCTTATTGTAAAAAGAAAACAGAAATTTTAAATACATATCTTAATGAATTATTCATTTTTTTTCGAAAGATCGAGAGAGGATAAGAACATAACCATTGAAGAATTAGAAAAATTCAATGAAATTCTAGATAAATTTGATGTAGAAATATCAATAAAAGTTAAAAATTCCTAGTTAAAAATATTTGCTTAAAAAATATGAATAAAATTGAAATTTTAGACGATGAAAAATTCATATCATATGAATTTTTTTCCAATGTTATTAACCTTGTCTCTGATGAATTTATAACATTTAAAGGGCAAATTGAATTAGATGGAGAAATAATTCAAGATGGAAATTACAAACAATACATGAAATTTGTAGGTTTTAATACCAAAACTTTTGTCAATTTCTTCACTAGAGTGGATAATAAATCGGATGCTTCTGATTGGTATTTCACAGGAAAAATGATTTTACGTAAAAACAATTTCAAAGAAATAAAAAGATCAAAAAAAGGTAGTGGTGTTACCCTACTCAAAAAGATAAATGAATATATCGGTATAAATTGTTATATACCGAGCGATGGATACTGCTTTGTAAAGTGCGTTAATCGTGTTTTAAACGAAGACTACACGAGAGAATTTCAAGATTTCATCAACAGTTTTTCAAAATCAAACAGAAAAGGAGTTATGACAACTGCTAGAATCTTCGAATTCAATAAGAAATTTAATACTAATTTTCAAATTTATATGCCCAAACATAGACATTTTCAACCAAAGAAAGTATCCGAGGAATTAGATTGGGTATTTTACTTACATAAATCACATTTCTGTCTCATTAGAAGAAATAACAAAACTTTAGGCATTAAAGAAATAGAAGATGATTACGATGAAAACGTATGGAGAACTTGTAGAGATGATAATGCGATAACGCAAGTTTCACCTCTAAAACTAAACGTTTTTCCAACCATTCCCGATGATTGTTTATACGCGTGGGATTGCGACACCTATAACGAAAATAAAGCCATACCTTATTCTTGCACGTTAATTAATTTAGAAAAACTAAGAAAAATGTTAGACAGAATAAATAATCTCTTTCCAGATTTAAAGCCGACAGATCCCATTCCAGAAGAATATATAATAAATTAATGAATATAGTAGAAATATTTGTAGGTACAGATTGCATCTATCAAATGTTACAAAGTTTAGGAAAAATAGATCGAAAAAGAATAACATTAATTGCTCATAACGCTAGCGGTTTTGATAACTGGATCATGATTTAAAACATAAAAAAACTAACACAATGCCCTTTAAAAACAGCTAGAGGAATTCTGTCTCTACCTTTAACTAATTCACTCACCGATGAAGATTTACAGAAAAAATGGAAAAGACAGAAAGAAATAAAGGGTAACTCTAATTATTTGCAAAATATTTATTTCATATGTTCCTATCAACATGAATCATCTAGTTTGGCGAAATGGGGTAATTCATCTAATCTACCAATGATTTTGAGAAAGATCGAGGATGTAGACATTGCAAAATACACCAAAGATAATTGGGAACCTTTAAGACACGAATGGGAACCTTACGCTAAAAGAGATACGTTATGTCTCGGAGTTTGTTTGATAAAATACAATCTAGCAATGAAAGAAGTTGTATTTCAGAATATTTCCAATAATCTAACGGCTCCTTCTTTATCTTTAAAGGTTTGGTATTATTTATATCATTACGATAAAGAAATGGTTGAAGAAGAATGGTATGAAAGTACTAGAATGGTTCCGAAATACACCGAAAAAGAAAACGTAGGAAAAGTTTACTCACATACTCACCCTTTTATAAGATATTTTATCAGACAAAGTATTAAAGGAGGAAGAGTTTCGGCAAATCGAAAATCATTTGAAACGAATAAAATGGATGAAATTTGTAATATATTAAAGGAATACACAGAAACAGCAAGTGATAATATAATAGATTTATTCAAAGAATACAGCGCTAGCGCGAACGATAAAGCGGAGGTTCATTCGAGAGTTAAAAAAAATGTACCAAACTAATGGCCTTTGATGCTAACGGTTTGTACGCTTCCGCCATGTCGGATTTAGATAGCGAATGTCCGAGAGCGGAAAGTGGTAGACCATTTCGACAAGAAGAAAATAAAGAATTTGTTAAGCTCTTTAATGATCAGAAATTCAGACCTAGAACTGCTATTTTAAAAGTCTGGTTTGAATATCCTACCAACATGTTCTTCCAACCCATACCAGCTAAAGATAAAATTACTTTCACGAATAGAATAGGTAAAAAGGAAACTGGCACTAAAATAAGGTTCAGAAATGGTTTCTGTTACGACGTTTTAACATCGGTCGATATTCAAGAAATAGTGAAAGCCGGTGAACGAATTATTAAAATATTAGATGGTATAGTTTACGAATAAAATTTTAAAACTCCACCCTATAGAGATTATATTTTAATTTTAAGAGATCTAAGAAATAAATATAAACGAGAAGGTAATATCGTAGGTAGTAATTGCATGAAATTATTAGGCAATTCGTTCTATGGTAAATCTATTCAGAAGTATATAACTACATCGAGACATCTATGGAGTGAAGCGACGTTAAAAGCCAACTTCGATTCACACGTTATACACTATGAAAAAGTAAATGATAGTCAATATATAGTTGAGATAAATGAAGAAGAAAAAGAATTTAACTGTACACCACCTAAATCTACACGACTAACACCTAGTCATTTGGGATCATTCGTTTTATCTCACAATAAAAAATAATGAATAATTTTATTCGCGTGATAGATGGATTTTATAAGCCTGAAATATACTATACGGATACCGATAGTTTATACATTTCGTCTAGCAATTGGGATAAATTAAATGAAGGTGGGTTGGTGTCCGAAAATGATTATTGTAAAGGAAAGAATGATTACGGTGATGGTGGAATTATATTTGGTTTATATTTAGCGCCAAAAGTTAAATACAATATCATTGTAACTTCCGACGGTATTCTAAAAGAAAAGAAAACGTTTAAGGGTTACTCTAAAGTTATCCGTAGAAGATTATATTCGATTAGCTAGTGGACAGGATGTAACGAATGAATTTAAGAAACCTTGGGTAAAAAGTTTCACCAATGGAGTAGTTATTCCAAAGGATGATGATAAACAAAAGAAAGTTTTTAGAAGTTATCTAAATCTCGTTAAGAGAAAAGCACCAAACAGTGAAGGAATCATGTATCCTTACATCGACGGAAAAGAATTGAACATAGATGAAAACTACGAATTTGATGATTTCGATTACCTTACTATTCAAGAAGAGATTGAAGAGTGTTAATTTTTTTGTTTTAAATGAAGTTGAATAACAATTTCCTCGTTACCAAAAATTATAAACCTATTTTTACCATCTTTGATTTCCAGATTTATATCTTTAATCATAAAGGAATTAAGTGGTAAATACGTCGTTTGAAATGGTTTCTCTATAATTCTATATCCTATCGGCACGGTGAATGTTGGAAGACTGTAAATAATCTGACGTTTGTATTTATTGAAAAATCCACCGTTTATCAAATTGCAATGTATATTTATCACATCAATATCATTCTCGACATTAGCTTTGTGTGGTGCTAAAGTGGATTGGGTGTATACTCGTTTATCAAATCCTAGTAACGTATTCAATGAATTTTCTACGTTGAAATCAACTTGACTATTATTACTTAATATCAATTTTATTTTGTTCAGATTCAAATTACCTTCGAATTCAATATTGTTTTTACCATTGACACTTCCTCCATATTCAGATAGGTATTCGTTAATGGCTATGTATTCGTAGCTTCCTGGTAGTAAACTTATGGTTTTGAAAGTAACTCCATTATCTGTTGATATTTTTATTTGATTATTTTTTTCGTTGATATTTCTAATGGAATTGTAAACAGAGAAATATTTTAATCCCAATTCATATTCTTGATTGCGATCGAGTTCGTACTCATAATCTAGAGACAATTTAATGTCTGATTTATTTGAGGTGATGACGAATAGTCGTTCTTTATTTGACAATTTTAATCACGCTTTTACAATCATTTTTATCTATGATACCTTTTTCTATGAGTCTTTTTAATATACAATTTACTTCATTATATTGTCTGTGCGATCGATGTCCTTCCTTCATTGCCGCTAATATTACTCGTAATCTATTAAGTAGTTTCTCGTTGTTGTCGGATAAAAACGTTAAACCTTCTCCAGATGCCACCATATCTTCGAAATCGTCTATATCTTGTGTGATTGAATTGTTGTCTTCAGCATAATCATCTGCTTCGTCAACTTCGTATTCATCATCTTGATCAATTACTCTGTTATATAGTTTAACTTCTTTCGATCTTCTTGTTTCGGGTCCCGACTTTCTTATTGCATCTAGAAATTTTGAGTATGCTACTAAATCCTTATAATCGGCAATACCAACATCCTCCCCATTCATTAAATCTATTAATCCTCTCGTTAATGTTAATATAAAGTCTTTTGTATTGATTTTGAATAAAGGGGAATTTGGACTAAATATTATTCTAAATCCATTAAATCCATTAAACAATAAACCTTGATTATCAACGATTGGTGAAATGCTCTTTGGTAAATCTGGGTTAGGGTTTGAAAAAAGACGATTTATATCATCTAATGTCCTAATTATAATACCATCATATTCAATCGCTTTGGGGTGATGAGGTTCTATAGGAGGTTTATATTCTAAAGCTAATTTCCTTTTAATATCCTCTTGAGATTTTAATATGGGTTGAAATAGAGTTTGTAGATTTTCCGTTAATCCGAGTTGATGTAATCTGTTATTTTCAACTTGGGTCTTTATTTTATTCTTAGCTTTGATATATTCTTTATTTCTTTTTAAAATATTATTCCAATCGCTACTCATTTTTAAAAAAATAAAATTAACATATGCCGATCATAACTCTTTCACCCGCAGGTTTAATAGTATTTCCAAATACATATCCATGTTCATCTGGGTTTTTCCATTGAGCTTTACAAACCTTTTTAAATGCATCTCTGTCCATTCCGTGAATTATCGACTGAATGATTTGAGATAAATCTTTATCGTTTAATTCAAATAACAAAAAACAATTCGAATTTTTCTAATGAACATAGAATCCATCCCGTAAAAAGATGGAGATTGGTATATGTATATCTTTCTTTGGTAGATATTCTAAAGCTTTGAGAAATTGATAATACGATTGCTCTGGTGTTGTTGTGTAGATATAGAGAGAATCGAAATCTAAAAGGTTTGGTGTTGTCAACATGTTAAAAGTGAGATGAGTTTCCCCAGAACCGGAACTACCGCATATACACATGAGCATTGGGTTATTAGGAAATATTTCTGAATGATTAAATTTTTTGCCCATTTTTTATTATTTTAATTTGTTCCAAAAATCACTCCTTCTCCTTTATACTTTGAAAGATATATTCCTTCACCAGTGTGTATATTTTTTAAAAATATTCCATTACCCTTATGTTTGACTTTGATTTCTCCTGTGTCAATACTATCTACTAATTTATTTAATCCTTGTTTAACAGTTTTCTTGGTTTCTTCACTAAATCTTTTTCCAAATTCTTTCATTGTGCCTATCATATCTCCCACTCCTGAACCTTTCTTTTCCGTTTTAGGTTTTTTACCCTCTGCCAACTTTTCCAATGCTAAATTGTGTCTATGTTCTGCGGCTGCTGTTACTGCAGCTGCTTTCTTATCGTTGGCAACGCTTACTCCACCAGCTGTAGCACCAGTCACTGTAGCCGCCGCGGTAATACCAGCAAATATTAAAGGTAGGGAAAATATAAATCCACCGTTTTTTTACATTTGTATCAATTCTTTCTAAATCTATCTCGTCTCTGACTTTACAATATTTATATTTGTCAATAAGTTTTTTAGTTATGTTGAATTTTTTACCGTTGAAAGTTATTACAGTTGGGGAATCTGTTTCAACAGCGTCTATTATTTTCATAACTAAAGTTTCTGGTTTCATTTTTAAGGGTGTATTTTTTATTCAATTCTTATCATTCTTCTATCTGCTATTTTAATTAAATGTTTTGCTTCTTCGAGTAGTAAACAATAACCGGTTACATCTCCTTGTGTTTTTTCAATATGAATATTTATGTTCACTCCTGTTTTGAAAAGATCTTGTTCTGATAGATCAGAACAGAAGATTGGATGATTAAGTGCAAAATCTACATATTCAAACTGAGGTAGATTTCCAAATAATTCACACATATTTTTATAGTTTCTATACAATTCATTATAATCCTTTGTGGTTGGATTAATTGTTTAAGGTTGGTTAGGATAGTTGTTTAATCTTACTTGAACTTTATGGATTATAGGATTTTGAGTTTGGTTCATTGCCACTCTAAAGACATTATTGTTATTTGTTTGAGAATCTGCTGGTTTAATAGTGTTAGTGATTGGCCATGTGGTGGATTCTCCAGTTAAAGTCATACTACCTACCGTATTACGATGAAGAAAAGCTATTTCAATATCTTTAGTTAATGAGTTGAATATTCTCGTTTCTACTTCAATTAATGGTGTTATTACGGGTATGAAAAGTTGGAGATTCGTTACTTCTAATTTTGCATCTGAACCATGCTCCCCAAAGAATATCTTATCATCGTTGATTTCTCTTTGTAGATGAATTTTATATGGTAAGCCTATGGAAACTTTTCTATGTTCCAACAGACCGAATAAAGGATATAATTTACAATTTACGTAATTACCCCACCAATTATTCTCAACAATATTATTATATTGAAGTCCTCGTTTTTCAAATCTGATTAGCTGATCGTGCTACTTTTTCTATTGTGTTTCGAGCAACAACTCTCACTCTATCTAAATCAGCATCATTTGCAACATTTCTTACCGGTTCTTTTAAAACGTTTCCATCGCCAACATCGGGTATCCAACCCGAGACTGAATCAAAATCTTTAGGATATAAAACTGTTTTCAACATTGTGTCGAATTCCCCATGGTATTTAATTGTTTCTATCGGATTTGAACCAGCTTCCTAAACCATCTCGCTAAAGATGGAAAGAAATTGTTTTCTAACGTTGTATTTGTTTGTGGAACTTGATTCTGAGTTCCATTTTTAATTTTGAAATCGCATCTGAAATAAGTATCTGAAAGAAGCAACCAATTCGATAATGAATTTATTTCGAAGGTAATTTAACCACCATCATTCAATTGGGATTTAGAACCAACAGTCGGTGAGATGATAATATAATCCTCTTTTATCTTGTTAAATGAATAACGCATCGGATCGTATAATCTAAAGATTGGATCTAGTATTTTATTTGCCATTTTTAAGGTTTAAAATTTGAGTAGAAAATTTTTTTTTCCAAAAAGAGTTATCTCCCTTCTACATTATTTTAAAACCAGATGTTATTTTTATATAAGGGTATTTTTAATATGCTTTTTTGATGGAATGTAGGAAATTGATTGAAGGTGTTTTTTGGAGTATGGGAGTTTAGGTCTTTTTTTAAGTGAAAGAATTTATGAAATGTAAGAATTTTATGAAATGTAGGATGTTTTGCTGTAAGAATTTATGAAATTTAGGGAATTTAGGTCTTTTTTGGGAGCTTATAGATTGGTCGCATTTTCCCCATGAAATGAAATGGAATGGGGAATCCCCATGCTAACTACTTCAGAGTTATAGTTTTTTTAACATCACCGCCTTTAGTAAAGAAAATTGTCCTTTTCACATCCTTTACAGGTGTTTTTACACTATTACTTTTATCAAATTTTCTAGATGCTAAATCTTCACCATATTCATTATTCAAAATTTCTGCTCTCTTTTACAAATGAAACAAAATCTCAAAATTTTGGTCTCTGTTCCATTAGCTATCATTTTTCCCGCTATGTCTGTCTCCCTAATTGTACTGGTTTGATTCAGCTCTTCAACATATTTAAGCAAGTCACATTCCAAAAAGTATTCGATCACAATTTTCTAACTCACCTACAAAGTCTAACAATTATGTACCCGTTGCAGACTTGACTTTCTTCAAATTTAAAATATTTTAAAGTTTTAACATATTTCATCGGGTTTCCATTGAACTTCCTAAATTCCAGCTTTATTCTGAGAATATTGAACATCATGATGTTGATTTACATCATAAACATAGGACAAACTTTGATTAGTTTGTGGATGAATTACATGACTAATTGGTGCTATATTAGAACTGTCCGCAGAAAAACTCAAAGGAACACAATGTGGGCCGTATTCTTATGTTGTCTCAATGACTTTTAGCAATAAATCACTCTTACGTTCTACTTATCTTATTTTGTCAGTCACTATTTTTTTTTTAAATCATTGTTCTTTGAAGGAATTGTCATTAGTTATAATGAAATATTATTAAAGATAAATACTAATAGAAGTTAATTGTACCACTGGGTATCCATACAACGTATTTGTCTCGACTTACAGATCAAACATTGTACCGGAAAATAGATGACGCATTTAGCATCCATTGTCGAGTTGGTAACTCATGAGATATGGGTCAAAGTGAGGGGTTCATAAAGAAAATCGAAACCAACCAATTTTAATTATTTTGAATATCTGAGGAAACTTCTTACACATTTTGACGAAATTCGATGTTGATTCCATATATGCACGAATATAGGTTACACCACTGTAGGCCTACTATAGATCTGTTTTCCTCTCCAGCAATAGCTGCTTCAATAGCTAAGCTAATCTCAGCTTCTTCTGATAATTGCAGTGCTAACATCCTTCTTTTAATCTCAAGATCTAGAAATTCTTGGTAAAGTTTAATTTCTTTTGCAGTTTTCTTAAAAACAGTTATTTGTTATTCAGTGTCCCATCCACATTCAGCATCAATTTTATTACCAAGTGTTTTCCATTTTTCTTCTAACACATTCATTTTATAGTCAATATCAGCAAATCCATCTCTCTTAGATATCAGTTGAGTAATTTCATCACATGATCTAGACACTGTGGTGTATTGCAAATTTCATCTTCACACTCATTCACAGATAATAATATACATTTTCTTAACTTAATGTCTCAAACTCAAGCGTTTGGGTATTGGTATGTAGAAAGAAAATTTTCAAAATTCACGGTTTTATTATTTTGGTAGCAGGAATTAATATTCTACACAGCAGTTTCACAATATAAAAGTCAGCATTATACTAATATATACAGTTACATCGATATTTAATTTGTATTCTGTCGTTAACTAATGTTAGCTGCCGGTTAAAAAATTGTTGGTTCCTTCCTGCTTATAATAATCAGCTCTCAAACGAACTTTTAACTACTTTCAGCATCCATCTGCTTTTTACACGAAATAAACAAAACCAAAAAGGAAGTAGCCTTTCTTTATCAATCATAAAAGTTACATTGGAATCAGATCACGACACCTTTCTAAACCAAAGGAAAAGTTGGCATATAATAGGCTTAGTCTAATAATATCAAATATGATTACCCTGAAATGGTAGCCACATTCTCCAGACAAGGATCAAGTTCGTAGTCATTCAAGGCCACGCGATATAGACTTTCAAATTTCAGATGATTCGGAAATAAAAAATAAAAAATTCAAAATTTAAACTTCTGTTTCCATAAAATTTTAGATAAACTTACAATATATTAATAGGCACCAAAATCATGCAAATCGGATAAAAAAAAAAGCCGAACATATTAGAATTTTGTAAAAAAAAATGCGTCACTCTATAAGATACTGGCTCATGCATTACTTCCTGTTTTGATTCTTTTTTCTTGGTTTCCAACGGTGAAAACATGATTCTTGTTGAACAGGTTAAGTAAAAGTTTGTTGTGTATAGTCGTGAAGCTGTAGCTTCAATTTATAAAAGGTAATTATAAATTAATTCCATTAAACATATAATTTACTTACCGGTTCTTCTTCCACATCTCGAAAAGAACATCCTGGTTGACACTGCCCCTAAAAGCATATCAAAACATTTTTATGAGGCCTGTAGGGTATCAGATATTTCGGAATTATAAGAATCCCAAAACTCACTTACCAGTGGCAAGGTTAAAATCAAACTTGCAATTAAAATAAACATCTGTTGAAGAACATAATTTAAAGTTTGATAAATTTTGATGTAAATATTCTTCTTAAGATATGTTATGAGCTAGCCAAGACTTGCCAAGTGAAATATAATACATAACGTATGTAACTTTATAATTATATTACATAAGATTTGAACGACATTTAGATGTTATAAACAAAAAGCTTTGATTGAGATCTGCAACGTGTAACATGCATATTCCTGGAATACGGTCAAGTGTTTCATCATATGTTAAAATTTCAACTTGCACTATATTTGTCTTAGTTAAGTGAACCCTTTGACATAAAACGCATTCAAATTTACGTTAACTGAAGTCAACCGCGAGGTCACATTCTAGGAATATATAATAACAGGATGTAATTTTCTTTTTGTGGATTTGTATACTGTATATTTTGTTTAAACGATATGTAGATTTAATTATTCTATTGCAACGAAAAAAACTTATTTTTCAAGAACTGCTGTCCTTTCAATTGCAACGGAATGGGGGGGATTATATTTATAGCGCAGGCCCATACAGAACGCATGGCTGCTATTAATGTTCAAGCGGCAACCATTTCGAAAATTGAATTCATTGGAAAACATCTAGATAAAAATATATTAGGCATTGAAAATATAAACAATGAACCTACTGCAGTTACGGTGGTATGAATACATAATATTTGCGTCATTTATCATGATCATTCAATCTGACATCTTGCCCAATGTAATTCATATCACAATAACTGCAGGAGGACCATCGTTTATTGCTGGGATTTTTTACATTATTGTTTTAGCGACAAGTATCCAAAGAAAGGGAAAATGAGGTAGAAACAGTATGATTTTATAAAGATAATATTTATCATTATTAACTCATTATCAACATACTAAACAATTACACAAGGGCATTAACTCAAATAAAAGGCAAACATCCGATATTGAAAAGAAAAAGAAAAAGAAAGGAAACCAATTTTTAAAAAAGGTTAGATTAATAGTGTTTTTAATTACTCACCCGATCCTGTTCATTTTCTGGGCTGGAAGTGTAAATAAGCAACATGTTCTAGCAACATCCCGTACAATAACTGAATAATAAGGGACCTATCAAGGGTGGAAGGATGGGGTGGGTAGTATCATATTTTAGAAAAAATGATAATACTCTGCCAAAACAATAATAGTGTTTCACTCGAAGAGTTTGCAAAACTCTCATAACTAGGTTAGAAATTCGGGCAACATCAGATATCAAAGTGTGACATATACACTGGATATCAATCTGTGTCATATATACTGGATATCAAACTGTGTCATATATACTGGATATCAATCTGTGTCATATATACTGGATATCAAACTGTGTCATATATACTGGATATCAATCTGTGTCATATATACTGGATATCAATCTGTGTTATATACTTTGGATATCAATCTGTGTCATATATACTGGATACCAATCTGTGTCATATACACTGGATATCAAACTGTGTCATATATACTGGATATCAATCTGTGTCATATATACTGGATATCAGTCTGTGTCATATATACTGGATATCAATCTGTGTTATATACACTGGATATCAATCTGTGTCATATACTGGATATCAATCTGTGTCATATACACTGGATATCAATCTGTGTCATATATACTGGATATCAATCTGTGTCATATATACTGGATATCAATCTGTGTTATATACACTGGATATCAATCTGTGTCATATATACTGGATATCAATCTGTGTCATATACACTGGATATCAATCTGTGTCATATATACTGGATATCAATCTGTGTCATATATACTGGATATCAATCTGTGTTATATACACTGGATATCAATCTGTGTCATATATACTGGATATCAATCTGTGTCATATATACTGGATATCAGTCTGTGCCATATATACTGGATATCAATCTGTGTCATATATACTGGATATCAATCTGTGTCATATATACTGGATATCAATCTGTGTCATATATACTGGATATCAAACTGTGATATATATACTGGATATCAATCTGTGTCATATACACGGGATATCAATCGGTGCCATATATACTGGATATCAATCTGTGTCATATATACTGTAGATCAATCTGTGTCATATATACTGGATATCAATCTGTGTCATATATACTGGATATCAATCTGTGTCATATATACTGGATATCAAACTGTGCCATATATACTGGATATCAATCTGTGTCATATACACTGGATATCAATCTGTGTCATATATACTGGATATCAGTCTGTGTCATATATACTGGATATCAATCTGTGTCATATATACTGGAAATCAAACTGTGTCATATATACTGGATATCAATCTGTGTCATATATATATATATTGGATACCAATCTGTGTCATATATACTGGATATCAATCTGTGTCATATATACTGGATATCAATCTGTGTCATATATACTGGATATCAAACTGTGTTATATACACTGGATATCAATCTGTGTCATATATACTGGATATCAAACTGTGTCATATATACTGGATAACAATCTGTGTCATATATACTGGATATCAATCTGTGTCATATATACTGGATATCAATCTGTGTTATATACACTGGATATCAATCTGTGTCATATATACTGGATATCAATCTGTGTCATATATACTGGATATCAATCTGTGTCATATATACTGGATATCAATCTGTGTTATATACACTGGATATTAATCTGTGTCATATATACTGGATATCAATCTGTGTTATATACACTGGATATCAATCTGTGTCATATATACCGGATATCAATCTGTGTCATATATACTGGATATCAAACTGTATAATTATATCATTGGTATTGGTATTGGTATTAAATTTAATTTATAACAGTTCGATGCTCCAGGACATCTTCGTTGAATATTTCAGCCCTGCCTGCAATCGACCACCCTCCGAACAATTACGCCTGGCTACGGGCCTGTAAGCAAGTCGTTTGAGACTTGTAGATGAAATATGCTTAATTGTTGTTATCTCCCTTGATGAAAGTTGAAAGCGTCGTAACAGAAAATGCAATGGTCATTCTATTATTCCTAAACTATATCCTCGAAATAGGAAGGACAGTCTGGGTGGCAGAGACTAACGAATTGGCAATGCACATACGGACTGTGATGTGATGACGTGGGCGTATACTTGTAAGTAACTCAAATATAACTAAATTAAAAGATTATTTATCTTCATTTAATAAAAGGCATATGACAATATTCAAATTATCATATATTAATTTTAGCGATATTTTGTTAATGTATATTAATTTCATATTGATCTACATTGAAATGGATTTCATGGACCCGTTTGATACACTTATTGGGTTACATATAGGCGTATATTAACCAAGCTATAAAAAAGAAAAGTTCATTGGGAGGTGCAGCTCATTTTTGTAATTGCAGTTTTAGGCGAGGAAATAAATCATTTACTGTCCTGAAATATTTATCTATAGCACCATTTGAAATCATATAATAATCATAATCATATTAATAGCATAACTCTGCCCTCCAATGGCAAAACAAGACAAACTATTGTCGACAAGAAATGCAAATATACCTGAATATACAAAGGAACATACATTTTATATCAATAATTACGTATTAATATGTACATAAATATTTAAAGCTCTGATATTCAAAATTGATAAATAACATGACACATTTCAATTCTCTCATACATCACTCATCAAATACACATAATATCATTCCCATGACTTGGCTACCGAATTTTAGATTTTAATTTCCAGTAATTCCAACAACACGATATAAAACCTTTCCATCTTACAACGGATGAACTAAAAACTAAAATATAGCAAGGAACGATGGGAGCGCAACTGAGTGCATGGATTGCACGATCATTGTGCGTAAAGTACATTTCTTGATACAGTTGAAAATATCGACTGTTTTTCTCAATAAATACAAAGAGGAAGTATATCATATATTTTATTATACTTGAAAATTGTATCTAATACAACACACACTTCACTTCACCACTAGCGCACATTATTCCACAGGCTTCATCATACACACAGCGCATCTTCCCACACGTCTTAAATGTTCTAATCCTTTCAATGTTTCTTTTTGAGGGTTAAGTCGTTCCTGATCTGAAGCAGCTACCAGCCAGAATGCAAACTTATCAGAGAAATAATGACATTGACCTCTACTGGTACACTCTATAAATGGTCGAGTTGAGAAATGTTCGAGACAACTTCCAGGACTTTGAAGATTCTGACCACCGGAAACTGTACCGATTGCATGCTGGAATGAGAAATAACTCTCTTTTAAAGCCATGTAATGCTGATTGTGTGTCTTTCAAGTTAAATTCCCTTGTCCGTCCGTTATTTGACATTTTTTAAGCACCAGAGAAGCTACAGTTTTCATCCAATTAAAATGAAACTTGGTATTCGTATGCAGATTTAAGAACTGTCCGAACTTGAGGAATTGTCGATGATCAGTTTGGGATAATCTGATATAATTTACTCTGATATATAACTTGAAGTACACTTACCATCACAAAACTGTAGCCTGCCCACATTGGTGTCCAGCCTTCTGGACAGAAAGGTACGCGAGTTGTCATGCTATGGACTGCAATCATTGGTGTGGGTGACTGGCACACAGCACAACGACTCACATACCTATACATCGGCGTTCCACTAACTGGCATCATCGGCATTTGTGACTCCGTGGATAGCCAATAGCTTGTAGCCGTTCGACTTGCGTAGTAACAGACGTTGTGAATGTTACAGAAAAGTGTAGGCATAGGTGCGAAATGAGGAAGACAGGATCCCGATTGTCCTGCAAAATTAAAAAGAAATCTGTTGCTTCCCTTTATACAATAATCAGAGAACTTCCATATTGCCAGCAAGAAAATAGCTATGGTATCTTATCACCGTACAAATCTTTCAACTGTGCCCACGATGGTCACCTTGAACAAATGAATAAGAAAACACATTTTGAAGCCCTAAAGTCTGATCATGTCTGAGAAAGGTGGAAAGATAAGTGTCTGGAATTCGACAACGCTGATAAGTAGAAAATTTCTAAAATTAATTGAATTTTAGTAACATCCCTGATTCAATTGTTGGAGGAGAAAAATTTATTTTTGCTTTCCTAATACATGTAAAAAGTGCAAAAAATGTAACCATCTGTTTAAATCTAAATTATTTAAGAAATAAGTGCCCATTGCTATGAAACTTATCTAACTTTTAGATTCTTACCAAGGTCTTGTGAATGAGCTCTTCCGTCGTCTTCGGTATGTAGTAAACTGTAACCTTTCCATAAAATAGTATGTCTGTTGTAACATCCGGTTTCCTTTGAAGCTTGGCTGTGACGTACATATACATACGCTGATGGTCCAGGTATACCTGAATCAAGGAAGCAGATCAGAGAAAAAAATCTACACAGTCACACATGTTATCACCCACAAAAAGAAAATTATCTAATCGGGGAAATATAAGCAAACCGCATACCGCACTTCAACGATTACGATGCCATAAAACGTATCATTCATTTATTTTCCTCTTCATGTATATAGTAATCTGGGGCCATCAACAAGACTATTCACTTACCCACTGGTCCAGGGCCTCCTGGTTCACCATACCCAACTTCTCCTCTATCACCTTTTGGACCAGTCAGACCAATACCTGGCTCTCCGGGTGAACCTCTCTCTCCATAACCGGGTGGTCCTTGTGGTCCTCTTTCGCCAGATTCTCCTGGTCGTCCGGGTTCTCCTGGATATCCTATGGGGCCAGGAAGTCCCTCACCTGGAATACCCCTTTCACCTATAATGGAAAAACGTAATAACAATTGTAGTTGAAGGAATCGGTAATTATCTTTAAATTCACCATTTTCTCTAAACATGATACAGAAAAGTTAAGATAGCTTGCCAGGCAAGGTAATATACGCCCACTGGCAGCTTTGATTTTGAATAAAGATATTTAGCAGTACAGTAACAATCACCAGTATGAAATATTCAACCTTCAGTCATACACTTCTTTTGAACTCTTAGGGCCATACTGAATAATATTGAGTATGAGTTTTTGCCCTTGTTCTTGAAAAAGTGTTCAATTTTAAGCTCGTGAAAACTCTAGAAGGCAAATATTCAATCTTCAGCGCGGGACTGAATAATAAAACCAAGTTTTGTCAAAATCCAGCAAGAATCATGCCTTTTAGTGTTTAAGAGTTAATTTTTAAAACGTTTTCAAGAACAAGGGCAATAACTCATACTAAATATTTTTCATTTTTTCTGATTTTTAATAGGGTTCATCCATGGGTGATTACGAACATTTACACCAAGTTTCATCAAAATCCGCCGAGAATTATGTCTTGTAGAGTGTTTACGAGCAATTGTGGACGGACGGACGGACATCGGGGACGGCAATATACGCCCCCATTTCATGTGGGCGTATAAAAAGGACTATATCAAAAAAGGTGTTTGAATATGAATAAATCTGGGGCTAAATCTTCTCAGTTATATAGAAATACTCACCTTTTTCACCATCCAGTCCATAACCCGTTTCACCACGTTCTCCTTGAAGTCCTGGCAGACCAGGTGGGCCTCGTTCTCCATCTAAACCAGGGATTCCCATATCACCTCTCTGTCCGGGTATGCCTCTAGGACCAACTATTGAATCTCCAGATTCTCCTTTAAATCCTTGGGGACCCCTTTCACCAAAACCAGTTTCTCCCACTAATCCTCTTTGGCCTGGTAATCCAGGTAAACCATCTCGACCAGGTTCCCCTTTACCTCCAGGAAATCCTGGTGCCCCGGGCTCTCCAGGTATTCCATCAACACCAGGAGGTCCTACCTCCCCCGGCAAACCATCTAAGCCTGGTGCACCTGTTAACCCTAATTCACCTCTCAAACCTTGTATTCCTGGTGCACCAACTGGACCCGAATTTCCAGGAAGCCCATCTAAACCATCAATACCACGATCACCTAAAATATCATTTCACTTATTTGAACATCAGAAGGCTGATTTGCACCTAACATAATGGTATTTTTGGATAAAAATTAGAGAATAATCGAAAAGATGTGTTAAATTCCAATTACTAATTACCTCTCTCGCCTTTCGATCCATGAACAACCTCTCCACTGAGTCCTGGTTGTCCTGGAGTTCCTGGCTTGCCTCTAAATCCTGGTATACCCCTTTCACCTTTTGGGCCAGGAGATCCTTCTTCCCCAGGCGGTCCAGATAGTCCCAAATCTCCCCTCAAACCAGGCAAACCATCAATTCCAGGACGACCAGGCAACCCTTCACCGGGATCTCCCTTATCTCCTTTTACTCCAAGAGTTGATGTTCCTGATTCTCCTTTTTGTCCATCATATCCACGAGGTCCGATTGGGCCTTCCTGACCAGGAAGTCCGTCACGTCCATCAGCTCCGGAAAATCCACGTTCGCCTTTTACACCTGGAAGTCCTTCTAACCCGGGAGGTCCTATTGTACCCGGTAAACCATCTTCACCTGGTGGACCGGCTTCGCCGGGAAATCCTCGCAGTCCTCTTTCGCCAGGAATACCATCTTCTCCAGGTAGACCAGGGAATCCTGGTGAACCACGGATTCCTGAAATATTATGAAATAAAAAATTAACTAGTCAAATTGAGTGGTTTAAAATATTCTGTTGAAGTTTATGCTTAAAATTCATAGGTAAAAAAATTCGAATAGTACATTGAGAATTGGTGAAAAAGAGAGACTGTCTTTTTTAATGAAATTCACCCTTTATTTCTGCTTCTGTCTATCAAACGACCTAAATAATTTGGTATTTAAATTACATAAAATCTGGTATATTTTAAATGAATAATCAAATCACCTTTGAGTCCCGGCAATCCTTCACTAGCAGGACCCGGAGGACCTTGTAAGCCATCATCACCTCGCAATCCTGGTAAGCCATCTCTTCCGGGAGCACCTGGTTCGCCGGGTATACCATCCCGGCCCGCTTCACCTTTTATTCCATAGCCTGGCTCTCCTGCGGGACCTTGGGGACCGGGTCGACCAAAATTGATACCTGTTGTGGTTTCACCGGGAGGCCCACGGATACCCTGAAGTCCTCGATCGCCTTTCTCTCCGGAAAGCCCGTCTCGTCCATTACGCCCGGGTTCGCCTTTCAATCCATTAAGACCTTCTAAACCAGGAGGCCCAGGACGACCGACACCAGATGGGCCTGCTGGCCCAATCGGACCCTGTCGTCCTTGCGGTCCGACTGGACCACGGACAGATTGACCATCACTTCCTCTGGGACCACGGTCCCCCTTTTGACCAGGTTCTCCAGAAAGACCTGGCAAACCAGTCCTTCCCACACCGGGTTCTCCTTTTAAACCAGGTAACCCGACAAGACCATCGCGTCCTGGTAAGCCTCGTTCACCTGGTTCACCTTTAGCTCCACGGTCCCCATATAACACTTCTCCTGGAAGGCCAGGAGGCCCGGACACACCCGGAAGACCTGTGAAACCCCTTTCTCCTGACTGACCGGCGAATCCTCTTGGTCCAGGTACGCCCTGAAATGGAAAGAAGATTTAAAAGAAATTTGGCCTCTTCATGGAATTTTATTATACTATATCATGTAGATTCAAAGCCGTTTTATGTGTGGTAGACTTTTAATTCGTGGTTAAAATCATAAAAAAGATTGTAGTAAATTAAAATCTTGGAAAATAAAATTCTTAATAGCTTACCACAGGACCAATCTCGCCTTTTTGTCCTACACCGGGTATACCACGGGATCCTAAATGGAAATATATTAATATTATCGTATAGTAACATATGTGTTAAGCCCTTTGAAAATTTGCATACCGGTTAATAGGTGTGAAATGGTGTTTAACGTACTACTTCCATGCGTCTGATTGAGCTAATGAAGATACTTTGATGTACAACTTTATTGTCCAAGGATGCTAATGTGTAACTCTGAAACCATTCATCCGATTATAACCAATTTCGAACTTCACCGAGATCTCACTAATATAAATACATGTATACCAGTTTCTTCAAAATCGGATAGAAACTGTAGCCTCTATCGTGCATACAAGCCAAGGGCAATAACTCTGAAACAGTTCATCCGATTGTTACCAATTTCGGACTCAAGTGAGATATCATCAATATCAAGATCGGATAAAAACCGTAGTCTCTAACGTGCCTACAAGCTAAATCGATAGCAGAAAAACTTGACTGAGACCTCATCCATATTTACATGCATATTAAGTTTCATCAAGATCTTTCGTGCCTACAAGTCAAATTTGACGTGTTTTACTAAGTCAGGGGAAATAAAACCTTGTTAATGGCCTGAACAAAGTACATAGTATGGTTTGCGTTCCGGCGTCCAACGGTTTTTACTTTCAGAATACCTCAAGGTGTTTTCATATATCCATTCATACAGATGCGAGTCGAGTCGGACGACGCGCCGCAGTGAATGCCTCCAGAGCGAATTCTCGAAATACTGCCAATCAGCAGCCAGTCATTAATCTCGGTACATTCAAATTCAACCTATGACCAATGACCACACACATATTGAAAGTTGCAAACGCAATATATAGAGAATCTGTGATGGAGATAACTGAAAAATTAATTCTAGAAGTACAAAAAAACCTGTTTTGTATGATAAGACAGAATAAGATCACTAAAAAAAATTGTAGTGTGGTTTGCGTCCTTGGAGAAAACCGTGCCTATTTCGCCGGATCCTATAAGAACGACATAATAGGTCCCGCAGACCGCCACCATAAACTAGACGCCGCACCACAAGCAATTTCAATGTGGGCGCATAAGAATTAATAAATATTGAAACTTTAAAGATAAAGTGTTAAATTTTATCCCACTGTCACATACGTATCGTATCGTGGCCCTTGTATTGCAATACGTATCTTATCTTGGCATGATTGGCGATAGCCAGCACTAATAAATTTTTCTGAATGTCATATTTGTTCAATTACACAATTGTCATTTATTTATGATATTATTTTTTAATTGAAATAAAATATGTAAATTCAACTAAATAACTTCTTATTGTAAATGTATCTTTAATCGTGCATAAAAATATGTATAAGATGGTCATAAAACTAATATTTTTCTGTAAACTTTTGCACTATACTAAAATAAAGACTTTTTTTTTATTTTTAACCAAATGAGAGAGTTGTCAAAAAGAAAAAAGCTTACCTCTGTCACCTTTCGAACCCTACAAAACACATATAATAAAAGCTGAACTCATCCGACAAAGATAGCTTGCCAGGCAAGGTAACATACGCCTACTAGCAGCTGTCAGAAATGATAACAACGTCTGTATAGTGGTTTAATATGTAAAACCAATCATCCGATTGTTACTAATTTCAAAATTTACTACGGTCTCATACCCAGTTTAATCAAGATCGGATAAAAAATGTATACAAGCCAAATTAGACGCATTGAATTAATTCAAGGGCAATAACTCAAAAACCATTCATGCAATTATTACCATTTTTGAACTTGAGAAATCATCAATATACATATATACCTAGTTTCATCAGATAAAAACTGTACCCTGTATCATGACAACAAGCCAAATTTGCAGCGTTTTTACAAAGTCAAGGGCAATAACTCCAAAACCATTCTTCCGATTATGACCAAATTCAATCTTGATCGAGATCTCATCAATATATAGATGCATACCAAGTTTCATCAAGATCGAATAAAAACTGTAGTTTATTTTATGCTTACAAGCCAAATTTGACGTGGTTTTACTAAGTCAAGGGCAATAACCCTGAAATCATTCATCAGATTATTACCAATTTCGAACTTGACTGAGGTCTTATCAATATATACATGCATACCAAGTTTCATCAAGATCAGATAACAATTGCAGCCTTTATCATGCATACAATCCAATTTTAACGCGTTTTTACCAAGTCAGGGGCAATAACTCTGAAACCGTTCATCCGATTATTACCAATTTCGAACTTGACCAAGATCTCATCCATACATACATGCATACTAAGTTTCATCAAGAATGGATAAAAATTGCAGCCTTTGTAGTGCACACAAGCCAAATTTAACGCGTTTCTACTAAGTCAAGGGCGATTACTCTGAAACCATTCTTCCGATTAATACCGATTTCGATTTCGAGATCTCAACAATATATACATGCATACTAAGTTTCATCAAAATCTGATAACAAGTGGTTGTCTAGCAAGATATGCCCACTTTCCTGATACATTTTCAGTATATCAAAGGCAGTCACCTATCTGTGTCAAATCATAACAAAAATCTAATTTGTGCAAGATATTGTTGATTTAAACAAACACACATTATTTAATAAAATTCTGACATAAACTGTCACCTCTATCGCTAAGAAATTTTGAAGCGTTTATACTAAGTCATGGGCAATAACTCAAATTCCGTTGATCGAAAAATTGTCAAATTTAATCTTGACTATGAATTTCATTTAAATCGGATGAAAACTGTAGTCTCTAATGTGTTCACAGACAAATTTTGACGCGTTTTTCATAAGTCAAGGGCAATAACTCAAAAACCGTTCATCGAATGATAGCCAAATTCGAACTTGTCCAAGATCGCATCATTATAAATATTCACACATAATTTCATTGAAATTGGATAAAACCTTTAGTCTCTATTGCGTTCACAACCAAATTTTGACGCGTTTTTCATAAGTCAAGGGCAATAACTCAAAAACCGTTCATCGAAAGATCGTCAAATTCGAACTTGTCCAAGATCGCATGAATATAAATGATCACATCAAATTTCATTCAAATCAGATAAAAACTGTTGTCTCTATTGCGTTCACAAGCCAATTTCAATTCGTTTAGGCTAAGTCAAGGGCAATAACTCAAAAACCGTTCATCGAAAAATTGTGAATATCGAACTTGTCCAAGATCTCATCAATATAAATGATCACACCAAATTTCATTCAAATCAGATGAAAACTGTAGTCTCTATCGCGTTCACAAGCCAATTGTGGACAGACGGACCGACGGACCGACATGGGTGACGACAATATACGTCCATATTATAATGTATGCGTATAAAAATTGCAGCCTTCATCGTGCATACAAGCACTTTAACGCGCTTTTACTAAGTCAAGGGCAATAACTCTGAAACTGTTCATCCGATTATTATCCCATCAATATATACATCCATACCAAGTTTCATCAAGATCAGATTAAAGCTGTATCCTCTATCGTGCATACAAGAAATGTGGACGGACCGACGGACAGGGGCGACGGCAATAATGACAGTACTGATCAAGAATTTAAACACAGTGAAGGGTCGTGGTTTGCCTAAGTGCAGGCTTAAAAAGATTCACATAAAGAAATAAAAACATACATTTTTGCAGTGATAAATACAATACATATAATAATATGACAAAATCACTATACACGGATGTTTTATTTGCCCTCTTTAAGGTGTCCAATAGCTAACAATAAAAAAAACAATATTTACCTTTTCACCGGCCGGCAAAGGACCAATTTCATGTATCCATTCCCGAATAGAACTGGCTCCAAGTGGAAACTCTCCTGGCGGTCCAGGTGGTCCTGGTAGACCTCTTTGAGAAATCCCAGGTGGGCCTCTTGGTCCCTGAAAGAAAAACGGGATACGGCTAACAATTGTTATACATGTATTTACTTAAACTCTCGCCATTGATATTTACAGTACCTGCTAGTTTCATCGTATTTTCGATGTCGATGTGTTACCAAGTTGAGAACAGACGTCGCAGGATGTAAGTGATTGTGATTGAAAGACACGAAATAAATCTACTACTACTAATATATATTTTTTCCTCGACTTCAACACCACCCCTTCATTATACTTACCGATTGACCTGGTCTGCCTGGAATACCATCTGCACCACGACTTCCCTATAACACAAAACAAGATTAAGCGCAATGTTATTTCCGCATACTGTTTATAGATACTATTGATGTACTAAGGAATAAAAATCTGGTTTTAGACTTGTGTTCCAGTTCGATAAGTTCGTGAATAGACCGACCTCTATTACAATGGATTGAGGAAATACTAAACTTTCGGACATGGTGATTAAACTCGACGTTTTGAGGTAATATACAGAAAATCACATATTTGTACCTGATGATATTGAGCACAGTTAATACCACAGTCTTGTGATAATTTGGGTAAATTTGGGATTTCAACTTACGTTTAGACCATCACATCCATGAAGACCCCTGGGCCCTGGTAGACCGGGTAAACCATTGTCACCCTGAAATAAAATTACGATATCATTTGCGAACTCGAGACATCTTGTTTTATATCAGTTCAAATTATTGTTCATATGAAATGAATCTTTAACCAACGATTAACACAAAAATGTTTGGAAATGGAATGAAATAAATGGAGTTTTACGGTTTACTTTAAAAATGTTTGAAGAAATTTTTCCCTTGTGTTATACTAGAGGGTATAAAGCTCTTTAGCACCATTGAAGCTATTTTGATCATGGGGTGTACTTACATCTTTCCCATTATTTCCCGGCATGCCTGGTAAACCGACTGGACCCTGAAATATAAACCATTTCATATGTTTGAAAATTTAAAATGAGCAGGTTATCTCCCACGAATTTGCACAAATTTCCTCACACGATAAACCAAAATTACTGCAGTTTATTTCATACCACATAACTATTTTCAACTGTTTGTTAACTCTTCTTGAATCTGAGAGGATGTACATGTCATTGCCTCTTTGGTGCCTGCTGTCGATCCAATCTATGATTTCAAATTGCATCTTAGTACTTACTCTAAAACCGCGAGAACCCATCGGGCCATCAAACCCGGGAGCGCCCTTTTCACCTCTAGGACCAACAATACCTGGTTCACCATGAGGTCCTGGTACACCTTGTGCACCTCTCGGACCTATTGGACCCTGAAATCAACATAAACATGATGTATTTTCGTCTCTTGTGGATAAACTGTGTTAAAAAGTCACTAGAAATTACCACTTTCTACCCTATTCAAAATTTTCAAAGAAGATAAAAATTTTACTGAGTTTTGGTCGATTTCGGCAATCAAGTCAAGTGATATTTATTTCGAATCACAATTTCGCAGTTTTTTTTAAAAAAAAATTGGTAAAAAAATTAATATAATGATAGTAGCTTACCGGTAAGCCTGAAGGACCTGGTACTCCCTGACTTCCTGGTGGACCCTGTAATAAAATGTTTTATTGTTTCAAATATGAATTATTCATAAATGTGGTCAGGTAGGATAAAACTCTTTTTTTAAATTTGGAAAGGGTTTCTACGTTCGTGCATAGTAAACGGGTCGCATTAAAATTGAAGAATGCAAAAAATAATTAATTGCTCACCGATGTTAACAACACTATTTATATCGATAACAAAAGAGATTCTCATCTTACCACATTACCCTTTTCTCCTTCTGCTCCAGTAAACCCAGTTTCTCCTTTCTGACCTTTGAACCCAGGAACACCTTCACGTCCTTGAGGACCACGAGCACCATCACGACCAGCTTGTCCCTTCATTCCCATTAATCCCTGGAATTGGATAGAAAAATTATTGCCTTTGCATACTATCAGCTTACCAGAGAGACCAATATGTTGTTTTATAGTAAAGAAGGAGCTAACCTATTTACGAAAGGGTTACAACAATCAGGTAAATCTAAACGTAATCATTTCAATACTCTCGAGGTATGGCTTTGTACATGGCAAATGTTTACCTTGGCTTTTGCACCACCACCATTCGAATGCATTTCAATATTCAATCAGTCATTTCCCTCATTTTCTAGTCTACCAGTAAGTGGATGCCAATAATACGGATCATTTGATATGAGAGTTTGTAAACAAGCTATGGATAATCATACACCTTGTAAATTATCTTGGCAGCAGATTTTCAAATTCGTGAAAAATATCCTACGCCTATGTGATTTCATATTAACAAGACTCTTTAACAAAAATTGATGTACTTGAAGATATGTCAAGAATCTTAACGATGTATCTTGAAGAGGACTTGACAAGGGAAGGTAATTCAGGACCAGAACTAAACAGTCATTGTTAAAATACTTTATGGTATAGGAAAATACAGATTATTATTTCTCTACACTCCTTTTTAATGACTTTAAACTTGATCATAACCTGGTAGATTCATAGCATTGTGTAACATTCAAATAAAGGAAACAACCGAGGGGCCATTTTAATAAGAAAAGGAAAAAATCAAGTACATAATTCATAACCAATCAAAGTGGATCGTGGATGAAGTAACGTGAATGAAATTAAGTAACACTTAAAAATGGCCAGTCAGTCATTATACCGAATTAATATTAACATATATATAACAAATGTATCCAAGTGATTAATATACTAGCTCGGTCAGCAAAAATAGTGTACACTGTAACATTACGGGAGCCCAACCCTCTTGAATACACCTAAACATTCCTACAATTTAATATAATTCATAGGCATTTCCTCTTTGATCTCGTCTACTGTCCGATTGTGGTTGTCTGATGATCAATTTACATTAAAAAAATATTTCAAAATTCGTCTGGATCTCATCATTCTAGGGTATTCACCTTTAATTTAAATTTTAAATGAAATTTCTATTTTCAAATCAAAATGAGTCAGTAGTTTGACGAGACATAATGTAAACAATATTGTTGTCTAATTTTAGTTAAGGATTTACATGTAATGAATACCACATTAAATTTAGTAGTCGCAGTATTTTAGTTACTTTAAAGGGAACAATTATAGATATACAATATTTCATAAATATTTTTTTTTTAAATTTTCTTTTGTTTCTAAACATTACTGGACAAAGCAAGGAAATGGAGTTCTATACTGTTATGATCTTTATTGGGTATAGACACGAACAAGAGTTGTAACTCTTGCTTTATCAATAACAAAATCATTCTGAAGTGGTCATCGTAATATTGATTTCAAACCCATGTTCCTCTGCAATTAAATGAACCGAAAAGGGGGAAATTGGAACGGTGTAGATAAAAGTTGAAAGTGTCCCCTACACACAGACACATATCCTGCAAGACAATCACTTTTGGATCTCTTAAAGGTTTCAGCTAGAGTTTAGCAAAGCCTTAATTGAAGAAAAAAAGTTCCAATCCTTTCTTGGAACATCATCTTTATTTCTTTCAGCGAAAATTTTGATGGGCAATTTATCACACCAAATTTAGTTATGGCTTACCAAGTCTGATTGCGATTCACATTTTCTTAAAATTCGGTAGCAATTTAAAATAGTCCAGTTGTAAACCTGCAAAAAGATCTTGCCAATGCAGGTTGCCGTTTGATTAAATTCGCAGACGAAAGTGATAACTTTTAATTTTGGCTAATCACAGGAAATATCAAATTACAAAAGGGAAAATTTGTTCAAGAAACATTAGAATTGCCCGTAATATTTTTCTGGGAACACTTCCATTAACACACATTCATGAATAGGTTTAACAATATAAATCTGATGAAAATTGTAAAATTGACGAGATGAAAGACAGTAATGTAGGCGTGTTCAAACAGAAGTCTGTAGATTATGACAAGTTTTTTAGTCTCTTATAACCCGTATTACTAGTTTTCAGGCTTGACAAATATGACTTCACGTGTCATAACGTACTTGTCTTTATGTTTTATATTGAAAAAAGGAAGTTCAAAGAATTTTACAACAGAATTTCAAGTTTGACCGGAATTTACATATCAAGGTCTTGTCGATATACGATAGTTTCGTCAAAGTTATGCTGTATTACCGTTTGAATTGTATCATTTAGACGGGTATCGTTGTTTCGCCCTAAAGCATAATTTGTTCTTTTGCAACATTTCCAAAGCATGTCCTTTTAGTTTTTCAAAAGTCAAAACATTTTATGATGCCGACATCAATATTATGTAGAACAGTATCTTTCAATTCACAAGAGTAATAATATAAATAATTCCATTAAAAAATAAATAATATGCACTTACCGGTTCTCCTTTTAGATCTCGACAAGAACAGCCTCGATTACATTGCCCCTAGAAATATATATCAACACAATTAACAAAGACATTAATTGGCTTGGGTCTGATGCAATAAAATTACCAAGAAAGCATTCGGTCTGTTGAATCTAAACAACCAAATCAAGTCGATTTGGTATCAGATATTCCGGTACAGTAAGCATTCTCAAACCAGTGGCTCAACTGCTCATCTTCCATTAGCAGGCATTCAATTGACTTACAGAGGGGGCTCAGAGGATATGTTAAAAAACATTTCAGGAGAGGAGTCTCAACCTGGCCTACATAAAGGGATTGTAAAGAGGTTTTCTAAACTTTTTATGTGTATCGGGGATACTGATAGCATAAATTTGCACCATTACAATGTTCATTTCGACGTCTGTGGTTCTTGCAATTCCACTAAAACTAAAGCGTTTTATGACATCACTAGAGGGGAACTGCATAGATATCAATACCAGCTTAATGTATAGAACTCTAATGACGTTATAAAACGCTTTAGTTTTAATGGAATTAAAGAACCACAGACGTCAAGATGATGTAAATATTATTAGTCAATATAGCTTTGTTATAAACATAGAAGAATACTCAAGGGCATTAACCCAACAAAAGGGAAAAACCCAAGAAATAAAAACATAGAAACAATTTTAAAGAAAGTTCAGTATCACTTAAATCAATTACAAGGTCATATTCAAGTCACAAGTCTGTATATACTAAGTATTTGTCGACAACAAACGTTTAATACCGACAATAATAGGCAAGTGTGATTGACAACATTCTTGGTCTATTGAAAACGGCGGGTTTTTGTTGTCGACCTAACGAATTTCTTGATACTATCTCTTCTTTGAAATAAAAAGTTATGAAATTCATTATATTCTGTGAAGCGGCTCTAGAAACAAATTTATCATATAATATTTAAATCTTTATCTATGGAGCACCAAAAAATTCCTGATCATTGTGTGGTTAAGGTTAAGTGTTTGGTTACTCGTTCTGAATACCCTCATTTATCTCTCTCTGATTGAGCTTGTCCACTTATGTTGTTTCAGATTTCAGAAGCATATGAATACATCAAAATTTAAGAAAATGTCAAGCCCCTTTAGTGCTTACGTTATTTTGCATTCAAGTGACAAGACAGAGAGTTAAACGCTTACGCTTTTTGTTCTTTTTGGAAAGCTGAAAACTAGGACTAAACGTTCCCTTTAAATCTATATAGTTAAAGGGACATTCTGCTTTTTTGTAGGTCAATAAACTTTTTGCTCAAATTTGTGAAAACTATATATACACCTAAATCTAGAGAAATGTGTTCCTTAACATATCTGAAAGTTTTCACTGAAAAAATCCAGCCGTTAACTTTTAAACGCCAAAAATATTTAAAACCATTACGTTAGGTTTTTAAGTTAGTTATGCATTTTGGGAGCTGTCAGAAAACTACTGTACGGATTTGAATAAAATAAACGCCAAATTGTATCTCTCCTACGTATTCTAAAGGTTTCGACTATAATATCGAGCCATTATAAAGCCAAACACCAAAACTAAGTCAAGCTGCTTAATTACAAATTAGTACCCTTGTTTTTAATTAACCCTTTTAAAACAAATTCAGATCAAGAAGTTACAAAGATATAAATAGCATACTTTAGAAATATTTTGAGGTATAATTTACGACGTTTTTGATATGGGAAACTTTTTACAAAATAGCGGAATACCCCTTTAATATGTAAAATGTCGTTCTGCACTGCTTTAGATGGTAATACATCACACACGTCGATTTTAGATTACTCTTTGTTTGCAAATAGAAACAACAATAAGCCTTGAGCAAGTTGTAACTAAACACATTGCATTGCAATTGCATTCTTTAGAAACCTGCTGGGACGTATATGGTTTAAATAATTGTTTGTCACAAACAATAAAAGATAAGTTTCATAAACTGATACACCCACTGATTTTTCAGTTAAGATAAGTTTGATCAAAGTCTAGTTTGGGATCTAGCCTTTTTTCCAAATCAATGACTTGTTCTCATCTGTTTAAGTTTAAAATAACTCTTATTTTCTGGCAAGCTTCTTCGAAATAATAAAAGGTATGTCATAATTAATTTTTAAAAAGATGGAAAGGTTACCTCTGGTTGTCTTGTATACGATTGTCGTGCAGTGTCTCTGGTAGGTTGCCGATCCGTCTCTCGAGGTCGAGGTGGGAATGTTTCTGGATATGATACGTTTTCTCTTTCCCTTTCCTCTCTTTCTCTTTCTTCTCTCTCCCTAGCTGCTCTTTCTCTTGCTCTTTGTCTCTCGGCCTGAATCCGTTCCCTCTCTCGAAGCCTTGATGCCTCAATGCGTTCCCTATCAAGTCTCCTTGCGTTTAATTGACGCTCGCGTTCGCGTTGTCGTTCCGCCAAATCCTCATTTTCTGGGTATTCATTTTCGGTTCGTCGCAAACGTTCATGCTCGAGACGTTCTCGTTCACGCTGTCGGGCGATAAGTACTTCATCACCTTCAGGACTTGAGCCTTCGACAATTCTTTCAAGACGCCGTCGTTCGCGTTGCCTTGCAAGAAGTTCCTCATTTCGTTCAGTTTCAGACAGACGCGTGTCTTCGCGAGTCCTTTCAAGACGTTCGCGTTCATGTTGTCTGGCAAGTAATTCCTCATTACGTTCGCTCTCTGAACTTCGTGCATCTGCACGGATACTTTCAATACGTTCACGCTGCCGCTGTCTTTCAGCTAATATACGTTCAGTTTCACGTGTTCTGGCAAGTGCCTCATCTTCAGATAGTAGCAAAGTGTCAGAACCATCTTCATTGTTCTCTTGTCCCTGTCTTTGAATCCATTCTGGTAGCGTACCATATGAAGTATGAGTCAACTTAACTTCATGTCGTCCTGTCTCTGGATCATATGAGGATTCTATTCCTGGTTGTCGAATACTAGTTCTTGAGTGCTGCCTTGTGCCTCCAGAACTTCGAGACGTTTCTACTCTACTGACTCTTGCGTCTGTGTTCCCGAAACTCTGTCCTTGTCGTTTAAGCCATTCTGGTAACGCCACATTTGAATTTTCGGTAAGTTTAACCTCATGTCGGCCTGTATCAGCAACAAATCTTGATTCTATACTAGGTCGTCGTGAATAGTTTCTATCGGGATAACTAGGTAATTCTTGTGACTCTGAAAAGAAATTATATTGATGTTTAAACGAAGTCGACCGACATGCCTTAAATATACAATCAAAAACTAACTGTAAATCCAAATTGAATGGTTAAAGGTCGAAAGACACCAAAAAGGAATATCATTTTTCTTGCACAGATAGTAAAACAGATATGCTTTCCTAGACTAGAACAGAGAAGTAATTTGGCAACTGTGACCTTATGACTTTAACATTTTAGTTTCCTAATCGCAAGATAAGATAAATAGGTTTAGTCGTATATTTTATAATTATGAAGTCAATAAAATGTTTCCGGTGTGTTTCGTGTTGCTCTGGAGCCACCAGTAAAGATTTGAAAACTAACTAGATGAAGATTATTTAGGTCATCTGACTTCAGACAATTTCCCTTTAATGGTTTTGTGTCCGACTGTAGTAGTATCTAATAAGACTGTGTCACCTAAAAGGATACTACCTCTTAGAATGGATATACAATTTTAATGTCTCAAAGTGACCACAAGTGTATATATTCCGCAGTTGGACTTACCATGTGGCATGGCTAAAGAAAAGAAACTCTATATAAGATTATAACTAATATATAACTCCTACACTATTGTTTACCTAACTATTGGTGAAACTTTTAGGTATACCTCCTGAATCTGTCTCGTAACACTATGGACTTTATTATTGGTGGCATAATTGATTATGAGCAAAGATACGTTAATCCAGATACATTTCAAATGTATTGTTAGTTGATATTATTCCTCCTACAAACTTTTCCTTTGTGTAGGTTTTTTTTAATGCGTTTCCGATATGCGGAAATACCACATGTTTCTACCATCCACAAAAAAGGATTATTTGTTAGATACAGAACTAGGTTTGGCAATACCTGTATGATGAATAGTAAGATTTCAGTAGCTTTACCAGATATTTTCTGTATGTATTTTAAAATTAGGGATAAGAATAACTACCACAATGTCTGAATTTCATTAGGCGCATTAGCTTGTATTTCCTGTTTTAATTGACAAGGTGTGACAGTCAAGTTACGATGCTATCTATATCGTTATTCAACATCTAATTATTAGAATATTTACCTTATTCTTATAGCAGATCGGAAATGAAAATTTTTATTGGGAAGCATGAAAATCATAGTGATGGCAATAATCTCATGTATGGTAATAATGCAAATACGGTTATATAATGACATCGAAATTCCTCAGATACGAAATAGATCTAAAAACAGATACAAAATTATACAAAAGCTTCATTATGTTCATTTTCCACCCAAAAGGTTGTCTTGCTATCAAACAAGTTCTGATCTTGTAAATTGAATTGATTGAAGCTCTATGGGCTAGACTGTGAGGTGCTCGAAACGTTAAAGTTAGACGGCCTAGTCGAATAGTATGACAGACAATGTAAATCTATTTGTGTTATTTATCAGGTGTCAGGACCATTACAGGTATGCATAGAGAAAATTCACAGCATAATAATGAAATATAGGCCAGTGGTCTATTACTGATTTATAGAATCATTTAACAAAAGGTTATTGTCACAGCTACAATGGTACAAGTTCGTGAAAAACTAAAAACTGAATTTGAATAGGTTGAATTAGGTTATTAAAGAGAACTCTTGTTCTGACAATGGCAATTGACTGACAGTGCTATATACAAACAAGCCTTGTTCATACTTAAACGGAACATAGCATTTAGACCCAAATGAGCAAAGGTGCAACTCTAAATAAATATTATTCTCAAATTCAACGAATCTTTCAATAATGTATTAGAGTTCTGATGCTTAAAGGCATTTTGTTAATTCCTACTTGTAACTATTTCTCATACGAAAAACAAAAATTGTACAGTCACTCTATATTTTTCGGGCATCTTTCGCAGTCCTGAGATTTATTTCCACATATACCGACCAGCCTTTCTTGCCCTGAACACGCATTGTTTGTACAATCCCGTTGGATTTCGAATATCCAAGATGTATGTGCTACCATTTTTTGCTCTCTCACCATCATGCAATGATACAAGCATTATACTGAATCCCACTTTTCTAACGTTGCTTGTAACCTATCTCAGTGTTAAGATGGGTTTATTTGAATTGTTTATATAGTTAGTTAGGTCACTACGATAAGGTTTAGAGAACTATTTAACTACTCAGCATTTTCTTGTATACATTCATCTTTTGTAACCCCATAATGTGCGCACCCTTCCAACCGTTGTACACCAGAATGGAGGGTTGTGCACTATCCTTTCTGTTAATTAATTCTGAATTTTGTTCCATAGAAATATCAAGTTACTTACCGATCAATGAACCAAAGCTAACAATAAATCCACAGAATATCAGAAACATTCCAGTATGAAACATGTCCGTCATCTCATTCTATGCTCACGCTTTCCAAATACGATTCCTCCCTGGAATGATTATGCTCCGATTTATCAAATGCCTTTCTTCACTAAAGTGCAAAGCATTATTTACGAAAAATTGCGAAACGTTTTCGAAGGAATAAATTCTAAAACCACTCTTTATCCTTTGCACTTTTTTCTTTTCTTGAACTCCACTTAAAGTTAACCCAGCGACAAAATTTCATTGACTTGAAGAGCAAGTGGATAAAAAAAAGTCAGTGCAAATATAAACACTCTAGTCAGTTCTTACACTCGCTACAATTTGATGACCTTTTTTCAATGCGCCGACAACTGTATTTTTATGTAGCGAGCACACCCTAAATCGGTGAATAACTTGCCGAAGATTAAAGAGACAGACTCATGTTTAAACCAGTTTAGTGTAATTCACATAATTTATGATAATATGATATACCGAAAGTGCATAGAATCTGACTAACAGGTTATTCTTCTTTTGTTAATCGAGCTTTTAGTTAAGGTTGATATTATAAATAATGGTTTGGTTGTCTTACTGCGTGGGTGCAATGGGTACTGGGTTATGCGGATAGGTTTATAGGATACATTTACTTTACAATTACTGTATCTGGCATGTAACTAATTACCTTTAAAATCATCAGAGAGAAGATAATAGGCGGAAGAGTTTTACAAATCGGAACTATAAGCAGTAGGGTGGTTTTTAAAAGGGTTTTCAATTACTGAATTCTCCTACGTGAAACAAGCAAAGGATATTAACGGTACGGTGTGGTTTCAAGCAATTGATACAGAATAGTTTGTTTATATGGGATATAACTCTATTCACACTAAAAATCTGTTATTTCTACTCTCTGTGTTCTGATGTAAGTAAGTGCATCTCCTCGGCGTGTCCGTGAACCGCGATCACTTGACAAGTGTATGCTGACGGAGACCTCGCAATCTACAACACGTCCTCGCAATTTCCGGGCGAATTGGTTGTCATTCTGGTTGGCGAGCTCGCGGAGACGTCTAGTCGCCTTGGTGAGAGTACACGGCATTTGATGGTCACTTGAGTCGCCCATGTCGCCTCGACAGATCAGCCATTGAGATAGGCCCTTTAGTGTAGGATTATTTTTTGCTTCTCGGCTTTATGACTACTGGCAATCACAGCTGCTAGTTATTTTCATAGCATATTAGCTCCATTACTATATTTATTACGAACACCTTGTCCGAAACATATGCCTCTATTCCAGCCTCTGATACAAATTTTGATAGTTATCGACTGGGAGTACACCAGCCTACACCTTTCAAAATTAGAGGCTGGAATAAAAGCAGATGTTTCGGCCTAGAACACACCTCGAAACCGATGGTATTTGCCATGTCTGAAAAATAGTCTATATGGATATATATGTTTTATTGGAATTAAATAAACAACATACATAATATCTACGCATATCTAGAATGATATATATATGGTGTACATCCATGAAACAAACCTTCCGTTATCGAGCTATGTGATTATATGTCTTTAATAGAGAAAGGATGAAGGCTGCTATTTTTGGGGATTAGAAAAGAACACAGTCACTTAACGTGCAAATTCAGGCAACATCTATCAAAAAGTTTCCACGTTCATGTCTGAAACTTATGGTTCTTTCCTGGGAAAAAAATCCATCACATAATTATGCCTTTTCAAGGACATTTCGGATGTATTTTTTTTTCAAAATGCTCTCTTTCGATTGTCATTTAACAATAAAATCCTTTCATGCCACAATTAATTTTTCACACTAAAAGCAAGGCCCTATCCACAATATAAATAATTGTTACTTAAAATATACAAATATATTAACACAGACACAGATTAATTTCGGTCACGCCCACGTCTTCTTTGGTGGCCGCGTCCCCGTCCACCGCGCCTTCCACTACTTCCGGTTGACGAACTGCTACTTACTTCGCTGGCCTGTCGAATACATTCACCATTATAAATATCAAGATGCCGTCCAGCCTGGCAAGCCGGTCTTTGGGCATTCCCAAGACGTATACATCTTCCATTATGGTATGTAGTCTGGAAAATAAAAAAATGAATGAGAATTTAGTGTGTAAGCAGGCCCGTCTTACTCGCGTTGACTCACCACAACGACGATCTATGACTCAGCTTCGCCAGTGCAATCTTGTTCTTCTTGCCTTCCACAGGAAGCGCACCCAGAAGCCAGAAAATTAGCTTGGACGTATTTGTTCAACGTTTTGCCATAAAACATACCCGACTACGTTTAAACTAAAACGGCAATAAAAATGTAACGTATCATAACTTGTGTGTTTTAACAAAAATAATCTCGAATCTAAAATACTCCATGAAAGTCCGTTTCCCGACGTTTAATCGGGTACTGGTCAGGCTACGGGCCTGTGTGTAAGTAGTCGTGAAATATGTTCAATCCTAACATCGGAATAAGAAAAGAGAGAAATAGATAACCCAAGAAAAACAATCGCCAGTTAACGCATTTTTATGTATTTTGTATCCAAATCCTTAATGGTATCTCAAAGTCTTAGGCTACGTCATGTAGATAGGGTCAATAATAGAAAATACGCTATACGATAATTTTAATTTATCAAGTTTTTAACCGTTCTTCAAAATGGACTCTCTTATAAAGTCGTTAATTTCAAACACGGATAAGTATGGGCCTACACGAGGAAAGAAAGATTCAACTTTCGAGTACTTCTCGGAGATATGAGTTTCCTCCACCCTAACTTTTTGACAGACTTACACCCAATCTTCAAGGAGACATCCTACCTGTTTTACTCCAACCTGACATTCAGCATCTTCAGCACTGACGGGTGCCGGCGTATACGAAGCCAGGTTCTCTCTGTTCATCACCATACCTTGTATTCCTCTTTGCAAGCCCTGAAATAGTAATCAAGTGGAAAGTCTAGAACGCCCAGAAGGCCTGAAGTCTATCTTGTTGTTCACAATACATGTATCTAACAGGGTTAATGTGATATTTGTATAGTAGGTATTCTAAAATTTATCATTTCCATTGTGATGATATACACCATTAGACCTCCAGGATTACACTGTAGGATTATCTGCTTTATTAGCCGACAAGTTCGTGCGTTTGGGGGTTCGCGTACACAGATAAATCCGTCAGAAATAGTACATCAAATTACAATTCCGTCAATGGATTGTAAGATTTCTACGTCATACTGAACACAATAGCACATGTCTGTAACTATAGGGTTATAGAAACAACTTTTGTATTAGACCTTGATTACAACACCGAAAGCATATGAAAAAAGAAATATTTATGCATTCTGAATTTATATTAATATAATCGTTTCATCCAGCAAAAATTAACACAATGTAAAAAAAATAAGATTAATACATAAACTTTATTTATAAATAAACTACGAACAAAATTTGTTTAATATAGGTAATACCAAGTTCTTAATAGCTGTAATGCTAAAAATCAAGAACCTGATCGATTCTGATACTAAATTAGAAATGTAACCCGGGGCGAAAGATTTTCACCTGATGTCAGTGCAGCTAATTAAGCAAGGCATGACTTTTAAAGGGACATTCCGCTTTCTTCGTAGGTCGAACATTTTTTTCTGCTCAAATTTGAGACAACTATACACCAAAATCTAGAGGAATGTATCCCTTAACGTTTGATAATAAATTTTTTTACAAAAAAGCGGAATGCATCTTTAACAAAAAATGTACAATATCAGCCAAATTCATATTATGACAAACTTTCGTTCCGTTTGTTTTAAGCTTTTACTTTTTTCTTAATCACACCAGTTAAGATCTAACAACTCTTTCATCTGACTGATAACACCCAGCTTATCAAATTTCTTAAATCTCCAGCAATGTAATTAAACAAAAAAGTTTACTCCCAGGAGCATTGGACTATTTCTTTCAGTTTACTCAAATTGAAAATTATGCCGAATTTGAAACACCCTTTTTCATTGGCTGTTCAAGTCAGACCAGTGTGATTTGATTGGTTAGAGCAAAGGTCATTCATACGATGTAATAAGAAAGGGATTGAAATACTTCATCTGGAGTGGTTGAGTAAAAATACGGAACGAAAGTTTGGTCTATTTTTAAATCAGATCGTGTACCATATATAAATTTTGACGATTAAACCACGGAACCTCGTAATCTAACCTAAAAGGTGATTTTTGACTTCAAGAAGTTGTGAATTTTAACTCAATTTTACTTCAATTTGCTCAGAACTTGATACTACATCAACCTAGACATTCAATATTACTCTACAATAACAATGTGGTTACTAACAAATGACGTGTGATAAGGTGATACGTACAATGGGAAGATGTCCTACATCAATATTATCAAAAGCAGCCTAAAAACATACAAAGCAACATAGGTTAATGCACAGGAAAGAGCATAGGTTAATGCAAAGGTTAGGTTACACTGAAAGCACGGAGAACTAGCAATCGTTCGAAGGAGATACAATAGTTGGTTGAAATCAAAAGTATCCAAATCTGTAGAGGCAAAAAAAGTTACGATGTGGCTCCAAATTCATAAAAAAAATGATGAAGTATTGCATTTTGCAAGATTGTTGCAAATGAAAAAGTCTTCATATCCTTTAAACAGAGACATATATTCTAAAAGAGCTTAAGTGGTTTAATATCTTACATGCGAGCCAAAAGAGGCATGTAAGCAATGCTTTGCAATTGCAAACGAACATAGTTAGCAACAAAAGTTAAATCCATATTCATTGAAAGTGTAATTGACAAGTTGTCTACCACTTGATATTACCAAATTTTAAACTTTAGTAACAACTAGCTTTAGTACATTAATTTATTAACCCTGAATCGCTAATATATGACCGAGGGCGATTTCGCTAAAACAAGTCGCAGCATTTTTTCAAGAATTTCATATTTTTGACGCTTATCACTCTGTTTCGTTTTAAAAGAAACTTACCCCGTTGTTTGATCCTCGATTTCTATTTCTTGATCTTCTTACTCTGGATTCACCTTCGTCCTCCTGACCTGTCGCAATAACATGGCAACACATACTAAACAATATCACCAATAATATATGCTCCATTTTCAACATGATGACTGCTGTACTCTGGTTCTTCTTAAAACTGGAAATGAATGTTATAAAACCCAATGTCTGTACAGACTACTCCCACAAACCCGCAACAAAATGTTTACTACGTTGGTTTAATTATATAATGCAGTTTTTAACTTGGTGAACAATATCGTAAAAGCAATAGTACTTATTTCATAATCAATTATCATAATCAAAATTAAAATACTCAGAACTCTGTACTACTCCGAAACAAACAGACTAAATAACTTAACCTATTCTCGTTCCAAACACCACTTAATGTAACATTGAAAATTTAATCGGTTCCACAAACCACAAACAACCCGTTTTAAACGCAACACTTTGGCTCATTTAAGACATTTGTTAATAGAATGAGTAACACAGATTATAATGTGGGTGACTAGAACACTTTTCGTACATGTTACACCGCCCTAACAGACAGAGACATACTTGGCATGTTACAGGTAATAGTTCTGTTCCATTTGGACTATTTGCATTTATTCTGATCATTCCAAGTTGCCAAATGAGTATATTCGTCGTTTTCAAATTTTAAAAGACAGTGTGTTATATATTCTACAAACTTTCCGAAACCTAATGCCAACTTGTGTTGTTTTAAAGGCCAATTTGTTTCTCATTATTCAGACAAAAAAATTGTTTTGAAGTTTTGTTTTCATTAAAATAAATAACCAAGATCACGATGATCTTAAAGAAACCATACTTAATGAAATGTTTTAAAATATGACTTTGTGACTCAATTTAATGCGAGTGATGGCCTCAAATTTTGTTTGCAAAAACTTGAAGAGATCACTTTTTGAGGTAGCTCACTTAAGAACATTACGTTTGAATTTGGCCTGGACAATCTTACTGAACATTTCATACCATCTAGAACATTCTATGAACTTCCAGGGAATTGGTGTGGAAAAATATAATTTTTATAATTCGGTGCTTTATTTTGTCAAAAAGGTTTTAAAAGATTTAATTCAAGTTGTTTCTGAACCCGATCTAAATTACATATTGGAAGGGGCTAATGAAAAAAGATCATTTAGTTAATATTGCAGGTTGAACATTATACTTCGTCCATATATAATTCTGCATGTTATTCGCTTTAAATCTATTTATTATCCAGACGGTTTATTTTTTAATTCCATGAACGAAGGATGTAAACTCTAGACCTACACGCAGTTTAGACTTTAATGATATTTAATTTGTAATAAGATCCAAGAACTTTAGTTGGCCACCATGAATATATTGTCGCACACCAGATAAACTTTTAGAACGAAAGCACAAACAATTGATAAAAATAGAATTTCATTTTAAGGAAGGAAAACTATTAGATTTTCAACTTTAGCTTTGTCATTCATCTTGAATACCCTTATACATATGTCTTATAATGAAAAATATACTATATTACCATTATTGTTTCATTTTTATGTTTACTGTACGAAATCTCAATTGCAATTGAGTAAACAGAATGTTTCTCGATGTATTTGACTGCCTGGAATAAGTTGGTTCAACATTCTAACATGAATTTCTGATGGGCACTTTCAAACGTTTCCTCAGGTTAGATCCAAATGTTAGTACACATATTTTCAGAAAAAGTCATCAAGTGAAATGAAAACCTTACTATGACATACGTACTGTAAATTAAACTATATTAAAGTGTTATATAACTAGTAGTTTAAAGTAATAATACTTCTGTTCCTCAGACACCGTCAACTTACCCAACCATCAGTGACTCAACTACCATAGGCACTGGTTGAACCAAGTTCACGGCCCCCAAATACAAAATTTTAACAAAATCTACCAAAGTATACAATTATATTCAAATTAAGCAATCAGCACTATTCAAATGAGTGAAATAGCATCAACTTAAGACTGAAATTTTGAACATTAACAGGCATTAAATTGCTTAAATCCAGGGGGAGGGGCCCAACTCACTGAAGTTCACAGGCCCCCAACCCACGTGAGTCCACAGGCCCCCAGTCATCTAGTTGAGCTACTGCCCGCCATATTATAAATATTTCATAGCTTACCTTAACGCCAAACCTCTTCCTAACAGCGATTTCCAAATCTTTCTCTTCAATTTCGAGACAGCTCTCTTTAGCCGAAGACGATAGCCAATAGACTTGACCAATATCTTAGGCCATGCATAAATTATTCAGTGTCTTAAGTTTGGCGAATCGAAAAGGAAGCATGAATTGTATTTAAGAGATGAGGTTTTTATACGTGACAGGTCGATTTGACCGTTAGACGCTTCTCCAAAATAAATTTGTTATAGTGATCTTATACGGATAATCCAATAAAATGCTTATATTAATTGAAATGTAATGTATATTAGCTTTAATGGAAATGCGTGATTAATATAATTTCTGTGCTCTTGTGCTATACACGTATATAAATCATGATTATGATTGGTTGGCAGAAAAGTACGTGGGTCTTTGATTATTGTTTCATTAGCTGAATGACATAAGTTAAACTACCAAAAAATCTTATCTTATCTTTCTCTCAGTACATACTGAGATTTAGATGAAGATAAAGAAATTTAGTTTTAAAATAATTTGCTTAATACATGATTCTGTTCACAATTTCATCAAATACTTGACATATTACCAATCTTTTGACATTTCTCATGAGAAAGTCTAGCACATTATGACATTGGTACAACTTGTACCAACAAGTTGGGAAACGCAAAATTTCTTTAAGGCGATTGACAGCGGGCCCGGTTCAACCGAAATGAAAATTTGTAACTAGCCGGTAGCTTATAGTGGTGCTGTGTATGGCTTTGTTTATGGGTGCCTGATGAGTATATCTTCTTGACCGGCATCAAGACCTTGTAACATCGTTGGCAAAGGCCAAGGAGTGTAAACATGACAGGTTTCTATGTAGATAAATGAATGAAACCCATCGACTTGATAAATGTTTTACGAGTCTTCTGATAATATCAGCACAATCTATTCGTTTCAATGACTGTCTCTCCCAATATGTGGTTTTGACTGTGGAATCTATGATTAAATATCGCCTATCCTGGTGATAACCGTAAAACTTTCATTCAGATAGGTTTGTTAATATGGTTTCGTAATAATCATTATTATGGTTTGTAAATAATATGAATGACACCGAAATCGTCACATGAAGACAACATTTTCAAAATCAAGTTACTTCTTTAAAACCCACGACATGTCATTAGCCTATTTAGAACTTCTGGTTTCTTAAAACTAATTTCACTCAACATAAGGAAGCTGCTTATCATTGATTTCGAAAAAGGTTTGTGTTTTATAAAACAGTTAATAGTATTGCAAAAAACAAAAATGAATGTCTATAACGTAACGATATTTTTCTGTCAAATTTAATAATCTGTTAATTTAATAATTAATGAAACCATTCGGACTTTTCTAATGTAAAGAGCACAACTGTTTTAATTTCGTGTACGGAATTACATTTCTCCTTTCGTGACTGAATAGTGAACTTATGTCTCTTAACACAAACATATGAATGTGCAATTAATAAAGTTTAATGCTGAAGATTAAACTCGTTTATATGGAGCCAAACTGAATAGGTAGGTACATTTTAGTTGGTTACGTATCGGATTGGATACGGTGCATTGTGTTGAAGAGTGTTTCCTCCCTTAATCTCCATGCCTTTTCCTTGTTCGTGGTTTAGTGCTGGACTAAGATTTTTTTCATTTTTAGTAAAATTTGCTATTCGGTTTCCAAAAAACCCTTAATCGAGACTGGAATATCAAATGAATCTTTTAAGTCCTACTCTTTCAGGATAGGCGCGGCAACTTCAGTTTCTAGTGTGGGCATAAAAGACGTGGACATAATGAATTTCGGTCGATGGGGATCTTGAGCGTACATGCCATGTCGGAGGCAACGATGTTGGCATAGCTGATTCGTGCCAACTTCGCCATACCATCGAAAGAGATCTTAAGGTTATTTTGTCTTTAATGCGAAATACAATATTAGTTTGGTCGCCGATATCGCCCAGAATTCAATATCGTGACCAACAAAGTCATAAAGCACTTGAACGAATTAGATTGAGATTAAACCGTTTTGTAGCTAAACGGATTTTAGATATAGGCAGATGGTACCCTGAAATAAGTGTTAAACGAAGTAAACTATTTTCCAACCTCGTACATTTATCTAAACTGGGTAATGATATATTTATTTATAGTATACAGAGAGCATTTAACATTTTTATAAAAACAAATATTAAAGTTTCTCCTATTTCAGGCGAATTTGGTCCATTGCTGGCATAGAAGCAATAGCTAATTGTTCGTTTCTATGTTTCGCAGCGGTAATTGGTGGCGTTGACAAATTTGTCAAAATTTGTCTAGTGGCGTTAATATAACACCAATTCCGCATATTTATCTGAAAATTTTAGTATCTAATAATCTATCTTTCCATCTGAATTTAAAAGTAATTTTATTTTGGGAGTGAGCATTGGATCCCCAGGTTCTCTATCTATAGAATATTTTATCATTAAAACAAGTTCAAGTGTCAGTTAAATTGTAATTATTATATTTGAGAATTATTGATATTGCTTTGTGTTAATGAATTGCATTTTTTACAGTTGATTTAATTTCATGGACAAAGTTTCTTGTATGGTTGCCCAATCGTCCGAGTTCGAACTTAGTATTGTGTTAATGAATATTATATTTTTACAGTTGATTTAATGAATTGAATGTATCGTTTATTGTGTGGTTGCCCAATCGCCCGAGTTGGGTCTGTAACCTTATAATAAGCCGGATTACGTCAAATAAAATTTGTATTGTAATTGTTATTCCGTCAAACTAACTGTAAACAACAGTAAAAATATCAAAATTACAAATCAAATGGCTTTCAAAATATTTGATTATTCCTTGTTTAGAAATAATTAAGGTAAATTTGATGCCGCTGTCAGAAACTCGTGTAAAAAGCTAATTGAGTGCACTTTAAAGCTGTGTTTAGATGACAATGTAGATTGTTGAAACGTAGTGTGTAATAAAACTAAGGAGTAGTATACCATAAAATTGTGTTCCGTTATTTACTATTCGATAATAGTAAACATGTAATTCATTGGGTGAGGTCAAATCTCGTGTTAGTGTTCCGTGTTAGAGTTAACACCAACACATAACACGACATTTAAATGAAATGAAATGAATGGAGTTTTACGTCCTACTTTTCTGCACCATGTGGGCTAATGAAGACGGGCACCGCCATGCAGGGTGCAATGAGGGAAATTTTGCCAGGACAGCGGCATTAGCCTGCTCTTTTTATACGCCCACATGAAATGGGGGGCGTATATTGTCGTCACCCATGTCCGTCGGTCCGTCCGTCCACAATTGCTCGTAAACACTCTACAGGGCACAATTCTTGACGGATTTTAACGAAACTTTTAATCGAAAAATATTTAGTATAAATTATTGCCCTTGTTCTTGCAAACGCGTTCAATTTTTAGCTCTTAAACACTCTAGAAGGCACAATTCTTGACAGATTTTGACGAATATTTCGTATATTGTCGTCACCCATGTCCGTCGGTCCGTCCGTCCTCAATTGCTCGTAAACACTCTACAGGGCACAATTCTTGACGGATTTTAACGAAACTTAGTATGTGTGTTCGCAATCACCCAAGGATAAACCCTATTGAAAATCAGCGAAATCGAAAAATATTTAGCATGAATTATTGCCCTTGTTAATTTTTAGCTCGTAAACACTCTAGAAGGCACAATTCTTGACAGATTTTGACGAAACTTGGTATGAGTGTTCGTAATCACCCAAGGATAAACCCTATTGAAAATCAGCGAAATCGAAAAATATTTAGTATGAATTATTGCCCTTGTTCTTGAAAACGCATTCAATTTTTAGCCCATAAACACTCTAGAAGGCACAATTCTTGAAGGATTTTAACGAAACTTGGTATGAGTGTTCGTAATCACCCAAGGATAAACCCTATTGAAAATCAGCGAAATCAAAAAATATTTAGTATGAATTATTGCCCTTGTCATTGAAAACGTGTTCAATTTTCAGCTCGTAAACACTCTAGAAGGCACAATTCTTGAAGGATTTTAACGGAACTTGTTATGAGTGTTCGTAATCACCCAAGGATAAACCCTATTGAAAATCAGCGAAATCGAAAAATATTTAGTATGAATT